AGTAGGCGTCCACCTAATGACAAACTCATCATGTGTGGTCCTGTGCTTTTGGATATTCAGTGGCCCACTGATGATGATATCACGTATTCTGTATGAAAACAAAACAGAAACCAGAGATTTCCTCGTTACTGCTGGGTTTATCTACCTTGTTGAAATCATGAGAATGTTATCCTGCCACACTGATCACGCTGGTTCTCACTTACGTTGCATATGCAGCTTGTGCTTGACTCTGATCTCCACCTCTTTGTTGACCTCTGCTTGGATGTGTGCTCCATTTTCAGGTGTTGGGTTCACAAACTTTGGCAAGAAGAGTCCCTCCTGACATGAAGGAGCAGGTGGGTCCACTGGAGTATAAAAAAGATAAATGAACTATCAATACCTGCCACTGGATCAGAACTTTTAACCTTTTGCACTCTGGCCACACCTATGCATCCAGCGATGTCACACCAAGTGTTGACTAAACTATGTCAAGTATGTTCATTCCTAACCTCAGTTTTATTTGTGGCAGTGTGTGGTGAAAACAAAGGAAAACCACATGTAATGATCAAAACATTGTCAGAAGTTGATGAATTGTTTACAGGCTAAATAAAGCTTTTGAAACCCCATTGGATCATATGTGGAAAAAACAGGATAGTTTTTATTCACTCATGAAGAGCTGATTTTTTGGAAAAACTTGATTTTCACAGGACAGAGATCTTCATGGTGGGAAACAAAAATTGACTGACAATAGTTAACTGATAAATGTAAAATCGAATAATTTTAGTAAAATTTTAATAAATCTGGTTTCTGGTTTCTGGCTTTTTTGGGGGACTTGGATACCTATTTTTCAATCCGGCCATGTATAATGTCACAAATTAAGGTGTTTCTAGAGGTCCAGCATGTAAGCTTCAACCAAGTGAGAGCTGTGCAGCAGCACGTTTTTGCTCAATGTGATTGAGGCTCACTAAAATTTGTAGAAAAACCCAACTTACCAAGTACAGAGAATTGCAATGGTAGTTTACTGAGAGGAGTGGTGGCGTGCAGGTGTGTCCTGCTGCTAGTGTATGGCGTGGCGGTTGTAGTAGTTGCTTCAGTGGTTGTAGGTGATGTAGGTGTTGTTGTGGTTGTCCACCACCCCCATGGGGTTGTGGTTGGTGCTGGGGTTGTAGTTGGTGTATTATGCCACCACCACCACCATGGGGTTGTGGTTGGTACTGGGGTTGTTGTTGAACCATACCACCACCATGGGTATGCTTCAGTGGTTGTAGTTGGTGCTGGTGTTGTAGTTGGTGTATTATGCCACCACCACCACCATGGGGTTGTTGGTACTGGGGTTGTTGTTGAATCATACCACCACCGTGGGTATGCTTCCGTGGTTGTAGTTGGTGCTGTGGTTGTGGTTGTTGCTGCAGTTGTTGTTGAAAAATACCACCACCGTGGGTATGCTTCCGTGGTTGTAGTTGGTGCTGTGGTTGTTGCTGCGGTTGTGGTTGAAAAATACCACCACCATGGGTATGCTTCCGTGGTCGTAGTTGGTGCTGTAGTTGTAGTTGGTGTATTATGCCCCCACCACCACCATGGGTATGCTTCCGTGGTTGTAGTTGGTGCTGTGGTTGCTGCGGTTGTGGTTGAAAAATACCACCACCATGGGTATGCTTCCGTGGTTGTAGTTGGTGCTGTGGTTGTAGTTGGTGTATTATGCCCCCACCACCACCATGGGTATGCTTCCGTGGTTGTAGTTGGTGCTGTGGTTGTTGCTGCGGTTGTGGTTGAAAAATACCACCACCATGGGTATGCTTCCGTGGTTGTAGTTGGTGCTGTGGTTGTAGTTGGTGTATTATGCCCCCCCCACCACCATGGGTATGAGGTTTCTCTCCTTCTCCTTGGGGATCTGGCTTGTCTCTTTCTCAGTGGGGATCTGGCTTGTCTCTTTCTCAGTGGATCCCTGGAGGATCTGGATCCATCAGTGTAGGCCAGAGAGATGCCCTTGTGGGAAGTCCTCCACCACCAACTCAAATCCATACACTCCGGTGTTGACATAAGAGTCTCGGTAGTGTAATGTGCAAGAGCCCTGACAATGTGAACATTTAGTAGTTAAGGGAGGCAAAGCATCAATCCAGTGTTGTACAAGGTATTGGGAAATTGATTTTTCAACTAACCTGATCCAAGTCAAAGCCTGAAGGTTGGTTGCACGAGCTGCACTCAGTACCTATGATATTTCCATATCTGCATCGAACTTTGTCACCATCAGGATCAAAGGACATCAGCTTGTATGTCCGTGGGCAGTTCTGAGGAACTCTTGAACAGACACATTAACACAAGTTAGTAAGAGTCTACAGCAGTCCTGAGTGCTGTTGTGAAACAATCACACATATGAACCAGCCTCGGTTCTTCCCTTCCACAGTTTTAAAAATCCAGTGTAACCAACCTGCAAATGTGAAAACTGTTTAAATAATTGTGTACAGAATATACCTGTTACTTTTAATCCAAATTTCAGATATGTGACATAACTATTTATGAAATGTGTAAAAACACAGTGCCCTATTCATGACAAAAAAGTGTGACCTCTACAGCATTAACTGATAGAAAAGTAGTTAGTTACATCTTTAAACTATTTGCTTAACTTGTTCAGTTAATCCTTTGAAGTAGTTGTTCCCTCTTTGAGTTTTAAAATAAGTACAAGTTATTTGTAATTGCAATTGTAAGTAGTCAAAACATTCTAGTTAAGTTAATTTGTGATTGTCCTGTTTTCTGTTAGCCTTCATATTATCTGGTTTATCAGTAGAAAGTATGTTTGAGAACAACAATTTTTAATTGTTAAAGTTTCATTAGGAATTGTTCACCAACTTCTCATCTTGTGTCACGTTTTATCTCTTCTTTTTTTTTTTACTGCTGGCTGTTGATGACCTGATTTCTTTTTTCAAGGGTTTTGTTCTATGTCTCCTTTATTCAGCCTTGTTTATTTACATGATCAGCTTAATTCAGTTATTACTGGTTCATTCTTGTTTTCTTGTCTTAGCACAAATTTAATCCATGCAACACTCTCTTAGGACAGCTACGGTGGCTGACACAGCACAAAAGGTGTCTCTTCTGAAACAGCAGAGAGTGGCCAGTCAAGAAATGAGGTTTCTTTAGGTAGATGTGTTATTATATTAATAAAATAGGTGATTAGGTTATATATGAATTTGGGATTGTACCCTCGCCAAAACTGCCCACCAGCAATAATATCTGGCTATCACGGCATGATAATAGGCTACAGTGTTAAACTCATGAGTATTTCCTCGCTGCTAAATCTGATTGTGAAGTCTAAAATAACTTGCATGCATAATACACGGCAGATGTGTGTGTGATGTTGCAGCCTTGCAAAGTGTAAAAAAACCCCCCATCATTTTCAATGTCAGAAAATATTCAAGTTTTTAACTTGTAGATTTGTGATTAGTTTCTTATGAATCTCCCACTTTAATCTTTAATCCCTCTCCCCTGGCTCCAATTCTTTTATTACAATGAGCATAATGTGCAGTTGTACGTTTACATCTTCATGATATTATGATATAGGTATAATGATATATAAAAGAAGAGTCCATAAAATACATGGGCCTATTAGAGAATTAGCCTACAATAAGAACACTGTGAAGATAATTACAAATTTACTCCATGTGATGCCAACAAGCCTTCTTGGCTTTGTCGGCCGCCACAATGTTAGATTTAGCCGTTAACGTGTCTTTAAACTCCTCAAATCCTGGCACAATCAACCTGCATTCTTCAGGGGAAATACGGAGCATGCACCGTGGCGAAAAAACTCAATTGCCTAATTACAATTTATTACAACAAGGATCTACAACCTGCGTCCATTCATTCCCTTATCATTTGAGAACCAAATTCTTTTCACAATATCGAAACGTGATTTTTAATTGAACCCGTTTTAATCCTGTTCAAACGTCGGTTTGTTGCATTTTGTTGTAGCCATATAATCATTGTTCTTTTGTCTTATATATCCTTATTTCTACCCAACAGAAAAATTGTGCAAATGAATTTACTTTTCGGCTTTTTTAGATTGTCATGTTTTCCCTCAAACTAGGCAGGTAGTCAAATAAATAAATTTAACAGCCTTAATTTTCAATGAAAATAATGAGTTTAAATCCACTCATTTTTACATGATTATAGCATTTTCCAAATTATGGCTTGGTATGGATGACGGCATGTTTTTGTTTGTAAACATAGCGTGGAATACAATCCAAGTAAAAATTGTATTTTCTTATTGTTAGGTGTTTTTTCTTTTTCTATTTTCTTCTACATATCCATTTATTCCTTTTATGTGAGTTATTTCTTAAAATGAAAATAGAGCACTGTCTTATTTATTGTAAAATATTGCTGATTTATTCTGTTGATAAAAATGTTGCTTTCAGCCTAATTCCAGTATTTTTGGACAGGCACAGCTATCTGGCTGCCACTGTGGAGGTATTTCTCTACTGCTGATGGGCAAAGTAGGACATTTCCCACAGGTTCTTTAACAAAGTGATTAGAAGTTATCTTGTTTAATGATAACAGCAGGGGACTCACCGTAGCAAAGGGAGAATGGCAACTTCTGGTGATTGGTTTGGTTTTCCAGTGTCAGATCTTGTTCCCAAATCCACATAAGTCATAAGTCTCAAATTATGAACCCAGTTTCGCGTTGGGATCCAACAACAGCTTGCAGCGCTGGTGTGATGGAAACAACACTCTTGAAATACAATATCTAATAAGCAGAACCACAGCAAATACAACTGAAGTTTTAGCAGGATAAATATTATATAATATTACAGCAATATAGCAAAAATATTCACATCAGGTGAGACATCACAGTCAAGCCCCCCCCCCCCCCCCCCCCCCCCCCTACACAAAATTTTGTTATATCACAATAATATTTTACAAGGTGACAGGAAACATAAATTGAAGATTTTTTAAATTACAATTATTTATGAATTCAATTTTTGTATATGCAAATTAAATATTTATATATGCAAATGTAAATACTTCAAATGAGGTACTCATTAAATATCCCCTGATTTACAAATCGCACAATTCCATATTCCGGCACATTGTAAATACTCAAATTAAATTTTCTGGTTTTATTGTGATAATATACCGAAAGGCCAGACATTTACAGAACAGTTTATCAAAATATTGTGTTTTCATGGATTTATTGAAAAGATGTCACTCATGTTGGACCCTTTTTTCCCACAATTTTACAGATAAAATGCCTCATAAAATGAGAACGATCAAAGATATTTTATTTATAAAAAACCTCCGTGCGATAAGGCCTAAGAAACGGTGTGTAAACGTATGATGCTCCAACTGCTTTGAAGGGCAAGGAATATATAGGAAACATGTCATTTTCAGAAATAGAAACATACTTAGCATAAAAATTTCTCTTTGTCATAGGAACACATCTCTTACAGATATAAACACTAGCTAACATTGTGCTCTAGAAAACAAGCTTTCAAATGATATATGATTCAACATGGAGCGTTTTAAAAAGGCCGGTCAAAATTATGAAAATTGACAGATTAAAGCAAAATCATCGTTTTAGACTGTTGTGTCTCGCCTTAAGTAAAGCAAAAATCTTACTTCATTTGAAAAGGGTTGTCACTTGGGATACTTCTTGTACTGACTGTTTCAGTTTCACACCATTGGTTGTTATATTGTGGTGCATTGTTGCTCCAGTCAACTACGCCTCTCTCACTTTTGGTATTATAGCCACAGTTGCCGGTGTAACAAAACCAGTCGAGAGAGTTCTGACAGTCATCAAAGGTTGCCCTGTTGCGAAGGTCAACCTGTGGAAAAAGATCAGATTAAGTAACTGTACAGCTAGCTATAAGCTATAGGACATTTTTGTTAGTATATTTTGTAAACACACAAGTTGATATCGATCTATAATTCTTTCTATAATGTTATAATATATCAATGAAGTCACTCATTGGATCTTGGATGACTAAGAAAAGAACAATAGAATAAAATCCATAGTAATATTTTGCATGGGGGCTGTCTAAAATACATTCAAAAGATCATCCAATTTCATAAAGCATTAGCAAGATGTCATCCAGTTCCTTCTACAATGTAAAAGGTAAATTTCTTTTTTCTGTGTCCAGACTATATGTTGTCTTGCAACCATGTACTGATCAAAGAAAGTTACAAGTTTTTACAATCTAATATAATTTAGGGTGTCCTCAAGTTTACTTAATGTAACTATTGAGTCTTGATTCTGAGAAACTATTAAGCTTTCTGGAGTTAAAATGCAAAATTGAGAATAATTTAAACTTTTAGTGAACACCCCGGACGCTGCTGAGAGAATCAGGAGCACCCGTGAAAGCAATCCATATAATTTTACATCCATCCCAAAATCACTTCTTACTCTCAGAAGTAAAGAAATTTGGATGAACAGTTTCTGTACAAAAAACCCCCAAGCAAAATAAAAATAAAATAACATGATGTATTTTTAGGTTCCTAAGCAGCACGCCAGCATCATCAGGATCAGAGGAAGTTTTACTAGTTCAGAAAGAGAGATAATTATCAATAAAACTATGACAAATTAAAAATAACAATTTTACATTTTCAAATCAATCAAATGAATATAATCAAATCAATTTAAATTAACACACAATATTAATGATAACTTGATAAGTTATCATTAATATGACACCATGAAATATATTCACACATTTTCTGTAATGCATGTTGCAAATCATTTAAAGTTGTATCTCTCACTCTAAATGTTCCATCGGGGTTTCTTCCTTTGTAGGTGTAGGTCACGGTTCCCCCAAAGTAAGATGATGCGGATGAGAGTGAGACCAGGAGCAGCTGAAGCAGAAGCACCAGTGTGGAAGCCATGATGCTCCAAACTCACCTGTTTCTCAAGGTTCTCTGCGACTCACATCCACCTGCAGCATCTTTATATACACTTGGAGGCTGACCCGACAAGCAGGTGACAGTCTTGGTGACTTTAATGGTATGCACACTTTGTTTTAGAACAATAGGCCAGCTGCAAAACTGGTTTCATTGAACAAATAGTAAGGAGTGAAAACATTTTGCATCGAGACATACTTTTGTATTGTATTTCGCTTTGCTTTGTCCACTGTTGTTTTGTATTTGAATCTGCAGTTAGCAGTTAAGCCTTTAAGGCCCTTCAAAGTGCAATGACACATTAGGCATTCCTTGGAGTGCAGGATAAATAGTTTAATTTAATTAAATGCAGAATGTAACTTTGATCAATGATGTTGCTTCATTTGCTCTGTTTTCATCCTTTTTTCATCTTTCTTTGCTTTTGCTGCACGGTGAAGCACCTAATTTCATTCCAGGGCTTCAATACAGTTTCATTTTAGACATGATACATCTACATAAGATTTCAGGTAATAAAAAAAGTTATATATCTTAAAATATCTTTTTCACCATAGATTTCTGTGCATTTCAGTTAACTTTCCATTGATACTTGAACTTCAGATTCAGTAGTAATCCTGCAAACTACCAACCAAAATGACAAATTTTAGCATTTTTCTGAATGCAATCCTTTACAACATGGCAGCGAAAGCCACCAAATGAAGGTCCAAGACAAAACAAACTGGGTCAAGTTAAAAATCCACCAACATCTTCATGAACTTTTGTAATGACATTGTGCTTGTAGAGTATAAAACACCTTCTTTGTTTGTCTTTTCAGTTGATTAATAAAAGGGGTGGGCAATCACGTGGTTAGTTAGTTTCAGGAACCACGCCTGTACTCAATAAGCTTCTAAATACAATGACGTAAAAGCATAAATACCACTGAGTCTAATAGTCTTAACAGTGATTGAGTGGCCCTTTGTATGCTTTGTATGTGCTAATATATGGGTATAAGAATGAGGCAAGGTAAGTCTCGATTTCACCTGGAAATCTAAAAAACGAAACTGAAAGAGTTCATTCACTTACAGCAACCCATATTTTCTTTTTTATTTAAAAACAAGAGGACAGATAAAATGGAGAAGCAGGAAGATGGATTTGTGACTGAAAGATAAAGTGACTCTGAAAGAAAATCTAACAGAGAAATGTTTAATTAATCTGTGATTTCTTTTGATGGGTAATTTCTACTGATGGTACTTTTGAATGAAATGAATAATGATAAAAAAAAAAAAGTCTGATAAAAGCACTGTACACTACCTGCTCAGCACCAAAGAGCAACGGACAAAGTTAGAGACTCGCGGGTGACATAGTGGAGCATTTGGCAGCTAAAGAGCCAAGTATTTCTCAGGAAAATCAATCCATCCATCCATCATGCCAAATCAATGCAACGATTAGCCTGAACTTGGTTTCAGTGATTGTAGGAATCTTATTATGTCTTTCAGTAAATGTAAATGCTCCGTAGTTGTATAGCGCCTTTCTAGTCTTTTCGACCACTCAAAGCGCTTTTACACTACATCTGCATTAATACTATATTACTATATAATATATAGTAGTATTTATAGAAATGGCCATGGTGCAATGCAACGTGACACTGATGCAAATTACTCCTAATTTTCAATAATAATCTACAATAGACATTCCAGCATGCACAGTACTACTCTGATCTGAAGTTTAATACCTATTAATACCTGAAGAAGAACATGGTTGCTTTCCAGCTGTGTTACTTTGGCACAAATAGTCATAACTTCTAAATAGAAAAAACAGACTGTACTGGGGAAAGTGAAAAGCTGAGGGACAGTTTTGATAATTTAATCAACACGACTACATAATAATTGTGACTGTTAATAATTGCGGATCTGCTTTGGCACAATCCATTTACTAAACTTGCTACTTAATTCTACCTGCTCTAATAGCTGGAAGCCATAAGTGGCCATCGATGTGTGTAACTTTAAATGCTTTCCCCTGAATGAGAAGCGCAGGAATTTCCTCTGCCTAGGATTGATAGGTTAAAATGAACATGTCCATAGGTTGATGGATGTGGACCAATCGCCAGGATGCACACAGCTCATGCTTTATTGTGAGCAGGTGAAACAGTCTCTTCAGAAGAAGATTATGAAAAAGAAAAACAGGTTGATCTTCCATCAAACCCTAAACTCCAAGTGTATGAGCCCTGCACTCTACCTGCTGAGCTAACCAGTGACACTGATGTTCATACTGAAATTACCAGTAAAGCACTGTCATTTCACAGGAAAACAAAAAAAATAAATGAATCCATGGCTGCTTAGGGCTTCTGTAGCAAAGTGTAAAAGGGACTTCAAATCAGGACCGCGCATAAAAACATCATCCAAGGTGTTCTATAGCACACACACACAATTACTATGTTTTATTTATTTATTTTATTTTAAGTTTTAATATATTTAAATTTTTCATTTTTTAATTACTTCTTTAATGAAATGTATGGGGTTGATTGTCTTATGTAGTTTGTTTGATGCTTTGGCAATATTGTTGTTACACATTCATGCCAATAAAGCAAATTATAATTGAAATTGCTGTGTAAAAAAAGTATTATTATCTGAAGGGGGAGAAAATATTCTCGGCATCACTGACTCATGCAGCTTAACACAAGCAGGTTCCACTGGCCAAAAAACACAATGCGACCACACAATTTTTGCTACAGTAGTTACACAGCTTTGTTCGGTGGCATTACTCACGCTCAGCAAGTTTGTGATTTATAAGGTATTTTTATGAGTAGGGGTCTGTTTGTCTGAAATATTTGTAATGTATTTTAATGAGGATATAATCTAGCAATATTTTCAACATGGTTGAGTAAATGGAACAGTGGGAAGTTAAAAATTGTCACAATCAGATGTGAGCTCTTAACAACACCCAGAGTTTCTCAATTACAGAGAAATTTGGATTTGCAAAATGTTTTATGTAAATTTAGGTGATATTTTGCTCAAGATATCTTGAGCTACATGTGAACACTTTCATGCCACAAGCAGAAGGGTTGATTTACAGGAAGATAAATCTGAAAGTAGCCTACCACATCAGTTTCAGTTTACGTGAATGAGAAGACTGTCACAGTGCCTGGCCCTGGCTGTCAGGCTCAGTGATTCACTGGGTACGGCACTTGAAGAAATGCCAAAATTAACAAACTAGCACTGTCAGGAAGAACAATAGATCGAAGAGAACGTTTTGCAGACATCGCAACAAACCTGTCAGCTGAGGTAATAAAGCTTTCCACTCCTGGAGACGATTTCATAAATAAGTTGTAGTTGAGTTGTACGTGACAAAGTGCATCTTGGCATCAACTCTGTCTGGTGCAGGAAAATGAAAAACAGAACAACCCCACATGAGATTATCACTTGATGTATCTACTGAAATAAATAAAATGTGATGCATGGCTTTAAAGTCAACTAAACCATCAAAAGTCAAGGCAAAATTAGCAGCACCAAATGCTAGTTGTGATTGCTAATGTTAATGTATCAGAAATCATAATACGATAAGATAATATATAATAATACAGGACTCACAAGTACTTTTACTTCTGAAAGTTGAGGTACATTTTGATCAAGGCTTCGGCAGTCTGTCGACAAATGTGAGATCATTGCTGTGCAAACTGAAAGTATGTGGCAGTGCAAGAATCTCAAATCACTGTTAGACAAAGAAACGTTGTTCTGGCTCTTAAATAAAGAAAGGCTTGGCTTGTAAAATAAAATATACTATCAAATTACTTGTACTGCAGATGAAGTTTTGAAGTTTGTGAAGCTGCAGTGCAGGAACTTGTGTTCAAATCTGCAAAGAACATTCGAAAAAGGCCAGTTTTACATTATTTTTATTCATTTGGTTGGTGGAGCAGTTGGAAATAATTAACTATTGGATGGATAACCAAAACATTTTAGACATTCATGACCTCGGCATTTAGTTCAAAGCTCACAGCCTTTTTTTAAGTTACGTCTTAATCACATGAAACTGATATTGAGGTGTGAATTAGTTGATGTACTTGGCACTTTGTCCCGTACAACAGTTATTTTTGAAATCGTCTCCAGGAGTTGAAAGCTTTACTACCTCAGCTGACAGGTTTGTTTGTATTTAACTAATCCCTGCCAAGTATAAAGAATATATTTTTATTTTCCAAATCCCCTGAATCATATCCGGACCCCGAAACTGAACCCTGAATCATTGCATACTTATGTAGATCTATTGTTCTTCCTTCCAGTGCTAGGTTGTTTATTTTGGCTTTTCTGCAAGTGTCCCCTTAAATTAACACTGAGCCTACCTCACTAAGCTTGCCTTTTCAATCAAAGTTGAGATGCATGCATTCAGTGCTGTGGCTGCACCTCACTGACAGCCAGGCTCTGTGACAGTCTTGTTTTCTCAGTCACGTAAACTGAAACTGATGTGGCAGGCTACTTTCACATTTGTCTTCCCAGTAAATCAGAGATAATCAGCACCCCACGTGACACTTGTAGCATGAAAATGTTCAATTCTGTGAAACGGGGGGCCAATCCATTAAAACTCATAACCCAATCTTAACTGAACCCTGCTTTAATTTTTTTTTTTTATTGCATTGTACTCATAGTTTGACTTCAGGACTTTGAAAACTGATATTTATTTATCATGGTTCTCCTATGCAGGACTGGTGCTGAGCCAAATCCAGCTTATGGTGCAGGGTTAGTCACCTTCTCAGTATGGAGAATGTATTCTAGTTTCAAGTCATGTTACGAGAAACATTCATTGTGCCCCACCTTCTTTGCACCTGCAGGTTTACAATAAGCAGATCATTTACCTTCAATCCCATCAGTAATGTGCCTAGAGAATTACATCATCTTCCAGTTGTTCATAAGGAAAAACATCCAGCAGTTCCTCCCAATTCTCAATCTGCTGGGCTAATTTTTTATTTACTTCCCTTACACATTACTGTTGGCTGCAAAAACATCTGACATAACCTGTTTTTAATATTCCAGTCATTTATAAGGCAGCGTGTATTTCAGTAAGTATGAGCAGTCCAGATGCATTAAAGATCACGTTCCTATGTTAAGTAACATTTAGAAGATTGTTTGATGAAAATCTTGAAATGGAAAACACTGGTTAAAAACTCTTCCAGAGTCAGTGGCTCCTCTCTTCCCTTCAGTGAAGTCGAGGTCCAAGACACACCTGATTCTGATGTACAATCACACGCCGTGCATCCATCTATCTTCAGCCATGTTAAAGGAGAGGCCAAAAACCCAATCCCCTCCGGATTGTTGAGTGATTTCGTGAACTTGTTGTTGAAAACTCTGATATTTTGATTACCTGCCTGTTTGCCTGCTTTGCTCTCTCCAACAGACTTTTCTTTTTGCCGCTGCCTTTTAATAAATCAAATGTATGTAATGCTTTGCATTAATTGTTTACACTGCACTTTCACTTTTATTCTTTTTATCTTGTTTGTGTTTTCTGTTTAACACTTTAAAATTGTATTAAATGTTTTTTATATTACCCTATGTTGCTTTTGTGTTTTTTGTAAAGGATTTTCAATTGCATGGTTGAAATGTGTTATACAAAGAACCTTGACTTACCTTTCTCTAATACTTTTGAAAAAAAGATGCATTGCTGCTAATTGTGGTATAGGACTGAAAGAAGAACGAAGTCAAGCCATGTCATGAAAAAATTTCTTTGTGCCCTTCCTTCTTTGCACCTGCAGGTTTACAGTAAGCAGATCACCTTTATCTTTAATCTCAGCAGTAATGTGCCTAGAAACCAACAATAACTCCCTTATTCATAAAGCAACCTGTATTTGGCTCATAAATTATGAAATGATGTGAGTCGGAGCAGTCCAGGCGCCATAAAAAAAAAAAGTTTCCATGTTCACAAATACAAACGTTTGAGGGGGTTTGGTCCGTCTGGGAAATCAAAAATAAATTTAAACCTGTATTCCCTTCGTTTCTGTCTGAGTTCTGTTTTTGATTGTTTTTTTTATTTTTTGACACAGGTTTTGTCTAAAAACAAATAACAATAATAAAACATGATAAATTTTTTTGGTTTTTGAATTACAACTGAATTATGGTTTATTATTATCCAACTATACCCACACCACAAACACCTGTAAAAGTCATGGTTTGATTCATATTGCATTTTATTTACTTATTGCACTGTAGATCTATCTACAATAATTTTAATGAAAAATATTAAAATCTCAGTATAATACGTCTGTAAACAAATTGCTCTTTAGATTAACTATAACTGACACTAAAGAATATATTGTAGACTGTACAAGTCATATTGAGTTCAGTGTTAAACATAATGTAACCACTGAGAAACCTACATTCAGCTGTTGCAGATAAAAGTGCTATGAAATACATTCTGATGTCACAATAAAGAGAGTAGTTACGCCATCTTGTGGTGCATCAACGCAACACGACCTGTACATATTGCGCAGAATGTAAATAATGTGATGTTTTACCATCAGTTATGTCCAAAGTTACTCTGTGCCCTGTTTTGCAGGTATTCTGGAAGCTCCTCCCATAATTTCCCCAATTCTGCTGGCCAGCCTTTAAAAGCCCTGTCTAGCTCCACCCACACTCTCTCTCACACACTGCAGCCGGGAGCCGCAGCAGCCACCATGGTTCTTTGTCTGTTTAACTTTGTTTGCAATAGACCTTATTTTGGTCATAATAGACGTTTGTGACTCCTCTGTTGCCTCCCTTGAGCCAGGGTCGTAACACCATCTTATTTATAACCTTTTTTTTTTACCCACATTGTGAATGAATCCCAATATGATTTGTTTTGCATATCTTATAGCCTATAATAAACCTTCAGTCAACCTTCAATCAAAAGTCTGATTGTCTTTTAATATGCTGTTCTTTCTGAAAGGTAGCACCCCATTTCTTTTTTATAAACCAATCTGGTCCTTACTTACATGATCCATGGCATAAACCGATCTTTATTTCATAGTCTGTAACACTTTTCTCAGTAAGCGCGGAACAATGCAGCCCTCAGACCTTGAGACTTGTCTTATTCTAGCTGTAGAGAGGGAGAAACGATATTTGTTGTTGTTTTGTCTTTCATCAAGCTTGGCTTCTGCTTCAGGATTGCAGATTGTGAATAAAGGTTTGGTGATGACTCTGATCAGTGGGCTATAGTTTTACTCTTAAGTTTAGATACCCTGCTCTACTCAGACAGAAATACAAATTTGACAGTTTTGTTGTATACTTTTATAGTTTACAACCTTCTGTTACATAATGGATCATTGCAGTCATGATCACTCTGGTGGTTGCTACACAGGTTATGAAACATGATGAGCTTCAGCAACAGGAAAGTTTTCAAAAAAGAAAGGAATTGAATGTAAGTAAACAAAGCAAAGTTAAGCAACTGTTTCATAACTGACCAGCCATAGAACTTTTGATGTGTAATTGTAGCATTTGAATGAGGAATGATCATGATAGGATAGGACTACACAGGTCAATCAAGATACTTGTTTTACCATACATCAAACTGTAATACTTAATAGTAGAAGCAGTTGTAAAGCTACATGGGATCCCACAATGGTAACCAGCACAAGCGAACCAGCAGCTGCAGTACAAGTTGATCATCCTCATTGTTGTTTAATATTAATCTTTCTGTCTGGTTTCCTATTCTGCACATGCTGCTGTCTTAATTTACAAACGTAGGCAAAGGCTGGTATTTGGCCCTTGACATTTTGGCTTTGAACATGGCCAATGCACAGATCATGGCAACAGCTGCAAGAAGACAACCAGCAATGAAGACCAGGTTCAGATCCAGGCTAATCACTGGAAGAAAGAGAAGCACAATTTGAATTAGATCTTGTCCAAAGTCTAACTGGCACTCAAACAATGTGCACATGTGCTGTTATAACCCCCCCTGTTCTTTACCTGGGCTTCCGGTGCTCTCTGCTGATCTCGTTAAGCGCAGGGGACCCTGGGAAACAAAGTGCCTTAAACTCTGGGTGACCGCCTCTCTCTTTCCGTGGTTATGGTGGTGACCAACTCGAGATGTGGAGTTGATGCATCCCTTCGAGCACCTGGTGTGGGGGTCCCCTGCTTCACACATCAGGACTGAACAGCTGATGTAAACCTGAATACAACAGGACACATTGTGTCAGCAGACCTACCGTTGTGTTTTCCAGTGGACAAATGGCAGAGTTGCAGTCAGATCCCACATACAAGATCAAACCTCTGCTTGTCTTGTACATGCTAGTCAGTGCAGCTCTACCAAATCCTCGATTCCATCTGTGTTCATATTTAACTTGGGAAACAAAAATAGGTTGAATTCCAGTATTCTTTCTGCATTTATTGCAGGATATCCATTTAAAAAGCCGCTGTTGTGTTTGTGTGTGAGAGAGAGAAAGAGGAGGTGCTGAGTGAAATACAAGTTTACCCATTTTAAGTAGTGTAAAAAGAATCAATAACCTGAGTCGATCCTCAAACAACAGAGGCAATTGTCACATAAAAAATATTTAGAAAATATCCTTAAAATGAGACAAAAAATACATGTCTGAAATTGTCAAACACAAATATGGAATTGGGTCCCTATTTTGATTGGCTGTAGTATAATGATGTGTTGTTTCACATTATACGTGTGATGTCTAATGAAGGTCCATGACGGAAACATTGTGCCTCTAATAAAGTTAGTGCTGACTGTCTGCAGGAATTCAAACTTTTTTTTTTGCATCATGGCCTATTCCCATGCACCTGACCAAGAGTGGAATCAAATTGGACCTATTCATTAAAGCATTTAGACATATTACAGAGACATTTGCAGGGATAGTCTATTCTTCACCTGGTCATGCAAGCCGATGAACCTGAAGGCCTCCATGCTGAACTGGAATTGTCTCTTGTTGGTGGAGGAATGGATTTCAACAGATGAGTCCACTTTACACCTAGTAAAGAAAAACAAAAACAACATAAGCCTTACAATAGGTGCCATTAAAGAAATATTATTTTATTTATGGTTTTTACATGATAAGAAAACAGAGTATAGTTTATGCTGAAGATGGTTAAGCGAAGCTTAGCTTGAGTTTTACATCCTGATATGGTCATATTGTATAGGTGAGCCTCTAAGGTAAAAAAAAACTTCCACTCAGGTGGAAGATAGAGAGACATTTAATATACATCTATCCCTCCAGTGTCTACAAATGGGTAAACAAATGGACAACGTCAACCATTTCAATTCACTCTCCTTCATATCTATGAGCAATTTAGTTACAAACCTCATTTACAAGCAAAAAGCAAATCTTTACAAATACTATTATGTCCTCTGTTGGCAGTAGGGGCTGAACTCACCCATTTTCAATGATGGAGTAGGTTGGCCGGTAGTTTGGGTTGTCATATGGTGCAGCGCTGCAGGACTCCACAAACAGCTCGGTGTTGTTGGCTGAAGAAGTGGCATCTATCTGCATGTAGATCCTGCTCCCTACGTCGTACTCCAGAGGGTATGAATTTGGATCAATCATGGTTTGGAATTGGTTATCAGGAAAGAACTCAAACTGGTAAGTGAAAGTACCAAAGCCTTTCTCCCACACTGTGATACTTTTCCTGTGTGCTGTGTAGCCAAGTGTCACGTTCCCCCGTTTGGGGTACTGGCAGTAGAACTGAACTTCCAGCAGGTGTTTCCTGGTGATCAGGTCTTCTGTGTTGTCGACCGCGGTGATTTCATTCTTAAAAATGAGGTTGTCATCATCTTCCTGTGGAGGAAAAGGTTATGGATTCAGTCCTCACACTGCTAATGAAAAGGAAAATCTACACCAGTAACTGAGAGAAGAGCACAGTGGGCAATAAAACTAATCACCCTGCCTCACCTCGATCTGAGTGCCGCAAGCATTGAGGGGGATGACAGCGATGATGTGAGTGCTGTTGGAGTGTGTGCGGAGGCTGCAGACGGTGTTGGTGGGGTCACTGAGCCGCAAATGATCCTCATTGAGTCCAGAGAATGAAGATTTCTCAACCTCTACTGTCATTGTGGACTGACTGCAGATCACATTGGCTACAACTAGAGCAAAACATATATATTTAAATGATTTACTAAATACTTTGCTCAAAACTGTGTATTTCTTATAAAAACTATTGTGATAAAACCTGCATTAATATCAGCATTGTGTTTTTAAGTATTTCTGCCCTCTACTGGTCAAAAATTGCTAAATGCAGCTTTAAAGGTTCCCTGTAAAACCTCTAGTAGCGCTATAGAGTTCTTTCTGGGACGAGATGACTTGCACCTATACACGCGCATTCACACGGGTGTGGTGATACTGTTACACTATTGCACTGATCTACAAGCGGCAGTAATGGACCAAACATGCAGCAATGTGCCGACACAGACAGAAAAAAGATTGCTAGCTAGTAAATATGGATGTAAAAAAATGTAAAAGATTTTAAATATACATTATATTTGGTGAAAACACACACCATCACATTCTGCGCTACAAAAAGTTTCCCCATGTATCATCAGCTTCAGACTCACCTAGCGTCGCCACAATGTCCACCAGAACACACCTCATCTCAGACTGATAGATGTCAGCCCTGAAAGGCATCAGTGAACACGGACTTAACACTTTTAACTCATTCATTTAAGCTGATATGTCATTGTGAAAATCAAAATTGTTTTGAATCCAAATTACAGTCAAACTGACAAAAGTGTATATTTAAGTAACATAACCATGTTTTCTTGATGGGGGGTCTGATATATTTGTATATGGTTTGATTTGTTAACGTCCTTGACCTTGTATTCATAAACGAAGTCTATTTTCCTAACCCTCCCAGCAGTCTCGAAAAAGACTGAAAAGTGTGTAGAAAGATAAATTAAGGTATCCACACACACATACTAATTCTGTCATAAAGGAAATGAACCCAAGGCTCACCCTGTCACTGACTCAACAGCAAAGCAGATGGGGTAATGAGCTCCCAGGTCATCTGGAGTTGGCGTCCACCTAATGACAAACTCATCATGTGTGGTCCTGTGCTTTTGGATATTCAGTGGCCCACTGATGATGATATCACGTATTCTGTATGAAAACAAAACAGAAACCAGAGATTTCCTCGTTACTGCTGGGTTTATCTACCTTGTTGAAATCATGAGAATGTTATCCTGCCACACTGATCACGCTGGTTCTCACTTACGTTGCATATGCAGCTTGTGCTTTGACTCTGATCTCCACCTCTTTGTTGACCTCTGCTTGGATGTGTGCTCCATTTTCAGGTGTTGGGTTCACAAACTTTGGCAAGAAGAGTCCCTCCTGACATGAAGGAGCAGGTGGGTCCACTGGAGTATAAAAAAGATAAATAAACTATCAATACCTGCCACTGGATCAGAACTTTTAACCTTTTGCACTCTGGCCACACCTATGCATCCAGAGATGTCACACCAAGTGTTGACTAAACTGACGCCACTAAACAAGTATGTTCATTCCTAACCTCAGTTTTATTTGTGGCAGTGTGTGGTGAAATAGAAGGAAAACCACATGTAATGATCAAAACATTGTCAGAAGTTGATGAATTGTTTACAGGCTAAATAAAGCTTTTGAAACCCCATTGGATCAAATGTGGAAAAAACAGGATAGTTTTTATTCACTCATGAAGAGCTGATTTTTTGGAAAAACTTGATTTTCACAGGACAGAGATCTTCATGGTGGGAAACAAAAATTGCTGACAATAGTTAACTGAATTTTAAAATCTAATAATTTTAGTAAAATCTGGGTTCTGGTCAAACTTTTTGGGGGGACCTGGATGCCTGTATTTCAATCCGGCCATGTGTAATGTGTGTGGTGAAGGCGCATAGATAAGATGGTTGCCTTTGTTGTGGGAGACCTGGGTTCAATTCCCCCTATGAGACAGACACTTGACCCATAGTTGTCTCAGAGGCGTGCGACCTCTGACATGTATAGCAATTGTAAGTTGCTTTGGATGAAAGTGTCAGCTAAATAAGTTAATGTAATGTCACAAATGAAGGTGTGGCTAGAGGTCCAGCATGGAGGTTTCAACCCAGTGAGGACTGTGAAGCTGCACGTTTTTGCTCAATGTGATTGAGGCTCACTAAAATGTGTAGAAAAACCCAACTTACCAAGTACAGAGAATTGCAATGGTAGTTTACTGAGAGGAGGAGTGGTGGAGTGCAGGTGTGTCCTGCTGCTAGTGTATGGCGTGGCGATTGTAGTTTCTTCAGTGGTTTGGGTTGTCCACTGCCCCCATGGGTTTGTGGTTGTTACTGGGGTTGTAGTAGTTTCTTCAGTGGCTTGGGTTGTCCACTGCCCCCATGGGTTTGTGGTTGTTACTGGGGTTGTAGTAGTTTCTTCAGTGGTTTGGGTTGTCCACTGCCCCCATGGGTTTGTGGTTGTTACTGGGGTTGTAGTAGTTTCTTCAGTGGCTTGGGTTGTCCACTGCCCCCATGGGTTTGTGGTTGTTACTGGGGTTGTAGTAGTTTCTTCAGTGGTTTGGGTTGTCCACTGCCCCCATGGGTTTGTGGTTGTTACTGGGGTTGTAGTAGTTTCTTCAGTGGTTTGGGTTGTCCACTGCCCCCATGGGTTTGTGGTTGTTACTGGGGTTGTAGTAGTTTCTTCAGTGGTTTGGGTTGTCCACTGCCCCCATGGGTTTGTGGTTGTTACTGGGGTTGTAGTAGTTTCTTCAGTGGTTTGGGTTGTTGTTGAAAAAAACCACCGCCATGGCTCAAGGATCAGTTCTGCGGTTGTAGTTGGTACTGGGGTTGTAGTTATCCTATCCCACCACCATGGGGTTGTGGTTGGTGGTGCAGTTGTGGTTGGTGCTGTGCTTGTAGCTTCTCTCCTTCTCCTTGGGGATCTGGCTTGTCTCTTTCTCAGTGGATCCCTGGAGGATCTGGATCCATCAGTGTAGGCCAGAGAGATGCGCCCTTGTGGGAAGTCCTCCACCACCAACTCAAATCCATACGCTCTGGCGTCGGCATAAGAGTATCGGTAGTGTAATGTGCAAGAGCCCTGACAATGTGAACATTTAGTAGTTAAGGGAGGCAAAGCATCAATCCAGTGTTGTACAAGGTATTGGGAAATTGATTTTTCAACAAACCTGATCCAAGGCGAAGCCTGAAGGTTGGTTGCACGAGCTGCACTCAGTACCTATGATATTTCCATATCTGCATTGAACTTTGTCACCATCAGGATCAAAGGACATCAGCTTGTATGTCCGTGGGCAGTTCTGAGGAACTCTTGAACAGACACATTAACACAAGTTAGTAAGAGTCTACAGCAGTCCTGAGTGCTGTTGTGAAACAATCACACATATGAACCAGCCTCGGTTCTTCCCTTCCACAGTTTTAAAAATCCAGTGTAACCAACCTGCAAATGTGAAAACTGTTTAAATAATTGTGTACAGAATATACCTGTTACTTTTAATCCAAATTTCAGATATGTGACATAACTATTTATTGAAATGTGTAAAAACACAGTGCCCTATTCATGACAAAAAAGTGTGACCTCTACAGCATTAACTGATAGAAAAGTAGTTAGTTACATCTTTAAATTATTTGCTTAACTTGTTCAGTTAATCCTTTGAAGTAGTTGTTCCCTCTTTGAGTTTTAAAATGAGTACGAGTTATTTGTAATTGCAATTGTGAGTAGTCAAAACATTCTAGTTAAGTAATACCATAATTGTCTAGATATACCACAGTCACTCAGTAATTTGTGATTGTCCTGTTTTCTGTTAGCCTTCATATTATCTGGTTTATCAGTAGAAAGTATGTTTGAGAACAACAATTTTTAATTGTTAAAGTTTAATTAGGAATTGTTCACCAACTTCTCATCTTGTGTCACGTTTTATCTCTTCTTTTTTTTTTTTTTACTGCTGGCTGTTGATGACCTGATTTCTTTTTTCAAGGGTTTTGTTCTATGTCTCCTTTATTCAGCCTTGTTTATTTACATGATCAGCTTAATTCAGTTATTACTGGTTTGGACTTTTCTTGTCTTAGCGCAAATTTAATCCTTGCAACGCTCTCTTAGGACAGCTACGGTGGCTGACACAGCACAAAAGGTGTCTCTTCTGAAACAGCAGAGAGTGGCCAGTCAAGAAATGAGGTTTCTTTAGGTAGATGTAGAAATTATATTTAAAAAATAGGTGATTAGGTTATATATGATGAATTTGGGATATGTACCCTCGCCAAAACTGCCCGCCAGCAATAATATCTGGCTAGCACGGCATGATAATAGGCTACAGTGTTAAACTCATGAGTATTTCCTCGCTGCTAAATCTGATTGTGAAGTCTAAAATAACTTTCCACTGCATGCATAATACACAGCAGATGTGTGTGTGATGTTGCAGCCTTGCAAAGTGTAAAAAACCCCCATCATTTTCAGAGAGTTTCTCTCATAGAAGTAAGAATAAATTTCAGGAAATATTCAAGTTTTTAACTTTGATTTGTGATTTAGTTTCTTATGAATCTACCACTTTAATCTTTAATCCCTCTCCCCTGGCTCCAATTCTTTTATTACAATGAGCATAATGTGCAGTTGTACGTTTACATCTTCATGATATTATGATATAGGTATAATGATATATAAAAGAAGAGTCCATAAAATACATGGGCCTATTAGAGAATTAGCCTACAATAAGAACACTGTGAAGATAATTACAAATTTACTCCATGTGATGCCAACAAGCCTTCTTGGCTTTGTCGGCCGCCACAATGTTAGATTTAGCCGTTAACGTGTCTTTAAACTCCTCAAATCCTGGCACAATCAACCTGCATTCTTCTGGGGAAATACGGAGCATGCGCCGTGGCGAAAAAAACTCTGTCTGCTTAAAAAATAAACTATCTGATTATTATATTTTTGCCTAATTACAATTTATTACAACAAGGATCTACAACCTGCGTCCATTCATTCCCTTATCATTTGAGAACCAAATTCTTTTCACAATATCGAAACGTGATTTTTAATTGAACCCGTTTTAATCCTGTTCAAAGTCGGTTTGTTGCATTTTGTTGTAGCCATATAATCGTTGTTCTTTTGTCTTATATATATCCTCATTTCTACCCAACAGAAAAATAGTGCAAATGAATTTACTTTTCGGCTTTTTTAGATTGTCATGTTTTCCCTCAAACTAGGCAGGTAGTCAAATAAAATAAATTTAACAGCCTTAATTTTCAATGAAAATAATGAGTTTAAATCCACTCATTTTTACATGATTATAGCATTTTCCAAATTATGGCTTGGTATGGATGACGGCATGTTTTTGTTTGTAAACATAGCGTGGAATACAATCCAAGTAAAAATTTGTATTTTCTTATTGTTAGGTGTTTTTTCTTTTTCTATTTTCTTCTACATATCCATTTATTCCTTTTATGTGAGTTATTTCTTAAAATGAAAATAGAGCACTGTCTTATTTATTGTAAAATATTGCTGATTTATTCTGTTGATAAAAAATGTTGCTTTCAGCCTAATTCCAGTATTTTTGGACAGGCACAGCTATCTGGCTGCCACTGTGGAGGTATTTCTCTACTGCTGATGGGCAAAGCAGGACATTTCCCACAGGTTCTTTAACAAAGTGATTAGAAGTTATCTTGTTTAATGATAACAGCAGGGGACTCACCGTAGCAAAGGGAGAATGGCAACTTCTGGTGATTGGTTTGGTTTTCCAGTGTCAGATCTTGTTCCCAAATCCACATAAGTCATAAGTCTCAAATTACGAACCCAGTTTTGCGTTGGGATCCAACAACAGCTTGCAGCGCTGGTGTTATGGAAACAACACTCTTGAAATACAATATCTAATAAGCAGAACCACAGCAAATACAACTGTGTGCAACTGAAGTTTTAGCAGGATAAATATTATATAAATATTACAGCAATATAGCAAAAATATTCACATCAGGTGATACATCACAGTCAAGTCCCCCCCCAAAAAAAATTTTTGTAATATCACAATAATACTTTACAAGCTGACAGTAAACATAAGTTAAAGTTTTTTAATTACAATTTTTTATGTATTCAATTGTTATATATGCAAATGTAAATACTTCAAATGAGGTACTCATTAAATATGCCCTGATTTACAAATCGCACAATTCCATATTCCAGCACATTGCTAAGACTCAGATTAAATTTTCTGGTTTTATTGTGATAATATACCAAAAGGCCAGACATTTACAGAACAGTTTATCAAAATATTGTTTTTTCATGGATTTATAGAAAAGATGTCACTCATCTATCTGACTCTATCTGTAAAATTGTGGGGGGAAAAGGGTCCAACACCCTTTTTTCCCCACAATTTTACAGATAAAATGCCTCATAAAATGAGAACGATCAAAGATATTTTAAAAAAACCTCCGTGCTATAAGGCCTAAGAAACGGTGTGTAAACCGTACGATGCGCCAACTGCTTTGAAGGGCCAGGAATATGAATTGGCGTACAGGAAACATGTCATTTTCAGAAATAGAAACATACTTAGCATAAAAATTTCTCTTTGTCATAGGAACACATCTCTTACAGATATAAAACGTCTCGGGTTACGTATGTAACCCTGGTTCCCCGAGAAGGGGAACGAGACACTGCGTCGGTTACAACACTATGGGAACAAGATACCCACTAAACCGTGCCGAAAACCCTGCCTGCCCGAGTGTGCAATAAAGTGGCACGACTAAGAGGAGAGCGCACGTGTGTGTGTGTATATATATATATATATACATATATACACACACACACATATGTATAGAAAGAGATTGTTTTGTACATTTTATGAAAGTATGGTAATAAAAAACAGATTAAAGCAAAATCATAATTTTGGACTGTGGTGTCTCACCTTAAGTAATGCAAAAAATTAAATAAAATCTTACTTTATTTGAAAAGGGTTGTCACTTGGGATACTTCTTGTACTGACTGTTTCAGTTTCACACCATTGGTTGTTATATTGTGGTGCATTGTTGCTCCAGTCAACTACGCCTCTCTCACTTTTGGTATTATAGCCACAGTTGCCGGTGTAACAAAACCAGTCGAGAGAGTTTTGACAGTCATCAAAGGTTGCCCTGTTGCGAAGGTCAACCTGTGGAAAAAGATCAGATTAAGTAACTGTACAGCTAGAGATGGTTCTTCTGAAGCCATAGGACATTTTTGTTAGTATATTTTGTAAACACACAAGTTGATATCGATCTATAATTCTTTCTATAATGTTATAATATATCAATGAAGTCACTCATTGGATCTTGAGATGACTAAGAAAAAAACAACAGAAGGCAAGGCAAGTTTATTTGTATAGCACATTTCAACAACAAGGTAATTTAAAGTGCTTTACATAAAACATAAAAGCAACAGGGAAATATAAAAAAGTTCAAAAGCAACATAAAATATAATAAAAGTTACAGTGTTACAATCAGGATTAAAAGAGTTGAATGGAAAATAAAAACAGGCTGAGAGGTTGAGCAAATAACTGAGTTACAATTATTCTGAAAAAAGAATAAACAGAGAAGTTCACTTAATCTACTCTTCTAGCTAGTCTGTACTCGGGTCCACAGCAATCTTTGGGTCCACTGAAACTCCAAAAACTCTCGGACACTACAGAGAAACCAGGACATGTCTGTCCGCAGGCCGCTTTGATCCAGTTACTGTAACTGGATCAAAGTCTCTCAGACTAGCTAGAGAGAGTAGATTAAGTGAACTTCTCTGTTTATTCTTTTTTCAGAATAATTGTAACTCAGTTATTTGCTCAACCCCTCAGCCTGTTTTTATTTTAGATTCAACTCTTTTAATCCTGATTGTAACACTGTAACTTTTATTATATTTTATGTTGCTTTTGAACTTTTTTATATTTCCCTGTTGCTGTCCAGGGTGTACCCCGCCTTTTGCCCAATGTCAGCTTGGATTGGCTCCAGCCCCCTGCAACCCTGTACCCAGGATAAGCGGTTGACGATGGATGGATGTATGGATGGAATATTAAATTGTGGGGGTCTGGGGATCCTCCCCCTGAAAAATTTGGGCTTTAACACTTAATTTTCTGCATTCTGGTGAATTTCTTTGCACTAATTTATTGAGGATGTCTCAGGTGACAATTCAAAATAAGAAGAATATAGTGTAATATAATGCAGGCTGTCAGGTATATTTCTCCTGTAGATCAACCTAAAGTCATTTTAAATGTGCTATGGCACCTTTTCACCTCAATGATAAATTAGCTTAATTAGTCTGAATTCAGTTAAGAGTTATTTATTGATGAAATATTCGAAGATTTTGAGCATTAAACACTTAATTTCCTGAAATCTGGAGACATTTTCTGCACTTATTTATGGTGGAAATGTTTTTATTTTTATTAAGGGAAGCACAAAATTTAGGTGGCAGGTGACAATTCAGAATATAAAGATATAATAGAATGTAATGCAGTAATCAGAAGCTTATTTTTTTTTTTAGCTTTTATCTATTTATATTATTTTCACGCATTTGGCGAATTATTAGTTTTTTGGCCCACAACACAAGAAACAGCTCGAGCAGAGGGGGAAGGAGTGGGTGCTGTAAGAGATGCTTTGTGGGCCGATCGTTGGCCAGTTAGGCCAGTAAGATGTAAATAAATAATTTGACTTGTGGCCTACTCGATGAGACGAGCGCACTGCTCTTCATCAAAGGAAGAAAACCGAAACTGAAAACAGTTTTCAGACAGAAATATCACCACAAATGTTCACTTCAGCACCTCTGATAAAGTGCAGCTCACAGCCGCTTTAGAGAGAATGAAGCATCCTGGAGACACTAAAGACTTAAATAATTATAGACAAATCTCCATCTTGTTTTGTGTGTCTAAATTATGGAAATACTTGTTAATAAACAACTAATCAATCATCTTAATGTGAACGATATCATCTCCCCGGCACAGACTGACTTTCGACCAGGGTATGGTTGTGTTACAGCTACCACTAAAGTGCTCAATGACATTACATCCGCGTTAGATAACAAACAACACAGCGCTGCGCCGAGTCGACTTTATCAGTTTTACATTTGTTTTTCAGTGCTGCTCCACTCAGGTGCGCTGCACACTAATACCAATGTAACGAGCTCTCCTGCGGAATGTAGGAGAAAAAGTTGATATTTGGCTTTGAAATGTAGCGAAGTGAAAGTAAAAAGTTGCAACAACTAAAATGACTCAAGTATACAACTACCAAAAATAACTACTAGTAACTACAGTATAACTAGATGTCTATGAAGATTCTCAGTCATCCAGGTCATAGTTATCCAACGAAGGTTAAAATGAAGGGCAACTGGACTTGGTTGAAGCTACAGTATAACTACAAATAACTACAGTAACGAAGTAGGCTACTTGTACCTCCTACCTTTGCTTTAACAGATTACTTTCAGGCAAAGAAATTTGGATGAACAGTTGCTGTAGAAATAACCCCCAAGCAAAATAAAAAATAAAATAACATGATGTCTTTTTAGGTTCCTAAGCAGCACGCCAGCACGTCAGTATCAGAGGAAGTTTTACTATTTTAGAAAGTGAGACATTTATCAGTAAACTGTGATAAGTAATAATAACAATACATAACAATTTTACATTTCATGTAAAAAAATATTTTAAAAAAAGATAGTTTAACATAGTAAAAAGTGAAACTAATATAAATATAAATGCTCTGTTTTATCAGAATAATCAAACCAATATAAATGAACAACAACATTAATGATAAGTTATTCTCTGAAAATGACAACATGAAAATATATTCACACATTTTCTGTAATGCATGTTGCAAATCATTTAAAGTTGTATCTCTCACTCTAAATGTTCCATCGGGGTTTCTTCCTTTGTAGGTGTAGGTCACGGTTCCCCCAAAGTAAGATGATGCGGATGAGAGTGAGACCAAGAGCAGCTGAAGCAGAAGCACCAGTGTGGAAGCCATGATGCTCCAAACTCACCTGTTTCTCAAGGTTCTCTGCGACTCACATCCACCTGCAGCATCTTTATATACACTTGGAGGCTGACCCGACAAGCAGGTGACAGTCTTGTTGAGTTTATTGGCATGCACACTTTGTTTCAGAACAATAGGCCAGCTGCAAAACTGGTTTTCATTGAACAAACAGTAAGGAGTGAAAACATTTTGCATCGAGACATACTTTTGTATTGTATTTCACAAAATGTAACTTTGATCAATGATGTTGCTTCATTTGCTCTGTTTTGATCCTTTGTATTTTTCTCTGCTTTTGCTGCACGGTGAAGCACCTAATTACACCCCAGGGGTTCAATACAGTTTCATCTTTGACATGATACACCTACATAAGATTTCAAGAAATAAAAAAAGTTAATGTTTGGTCTCTGTAGTGTGATGTGCTATAGATGATATAGTGTTGCAGCAATTCCCTAAGAAATACTTAAAATTGTTTTTCACTATAGAGCAGTGGTTCCCAACCTTTTTTCCTTGGCACCCCCCCTACTTTTATCTAAGAAAAGCTGAGCCCCCAAAACAAGCACACAGAAAAAGATGATGTAATTACTTACTAATAGCAAACAAATGGAGTCAAATGACACCTCTGTGGCTCTGTGTAAATCATTGCCAGCTCTTGGTTGGCCTTCACCAACAGTCTCCTGGTGTTTTGTTTCTTGGTATTGTTTAATACCAAGAAAAGGGGTTTATAAGGTGTAATATTAACAAAATATAGGCCTACAGCTTGCACTAACTTAAGTGTTTTCAACATATACTTTACTTGGGCGGGCCGGAGGTATAGTTGCACCTGCCAAAGTGTATTTGGCACCACTGCAAATGTCCCTCACTAACATTAAGTTTAATTTTCGATCCAATTGCAGCGCACTTGAAAACTCAATCACGAGTGAGTTTATTAAGCACGGCGACTTTATGAAACGTACTGCTGATGGAGAAAGTCAGCAGAGACACATACAGGGAGAGAGAGACAGAAAGAGGCGGAGCAAGCCGGCGTGTTTTCCGTGTGAGACCAAAGGTGCAGGCAAGTGTGTGTGAGTGTGGGGAGAAGAGTAAATGAAAACTAATCTAAGGTGACCTACAATAACCTACTGTTAATACAAATAGCCTACTATATACACCGCTATCGAGCCCAGGTTGGGAACCACTGCTATAGATTTCTGTGCATTTCAATTGACCTTCCATTGATACTTGAACTTGAAATTCAGCAACAATCTGGGAGCAGGAACCGAAATGACAAATTTTAGCATTTTTATGACTGCTATCTTTTACTGCATGGTGAAAAGCACCAAAGCACTAAAAAGCACTAAAGCCACCAAATGAAGGTCCAAGACAAACAAACTGGGTCAGTTTAAAAATCAACCAATGTCTTGATGATCTTCCGACATTGTGCTTGAAGAATGTAAACCACCTTCTCTGTTATCTTTTCAGTTGATTAATAACAAGGATGGGCAATCAACTGGTTTATCTTCATATTTTAAATGAGGTTTCAGGAACCACACCTGTACTCAGTAAGCTTCTAAAGCTAATTACGAGGAAGTAAAAGCATAAACACCAATTAGATTAATAGTCTTAAGAGTAATTAAGTAGCCCTTTGTATGCAATGAGAATGTCAGGAATCTAATTATGTGCTAATATCTGGGTATAAGAATGAGGCAAGGTAAGGCTCGAGTTCACCCGAAAATCTAAAAACAAAACTGAAAGAGTTCATTCACTTACAGCAACCAATATTTTCTGTTTAAAAACAATTCAATTCAATTCAATTTTATTTATATAGCGCCAAATCACAACAACAGTTATCTCACAGCGCTTTTCATAAAAGAGCAGGTCTAGACCGTACTCTATGATGCTATTTACAGAAGCCCAACAGTTCCCACCAAGAGCAGCACTAGGCGACAGAGGCAAGGAAAAACTTCCTTTAAGAGGCAGAAACCTCGAGCAGAACCATGGCTCAGGGTGGGCGGCCATCTGCCTCGACCGGTTGGGGGTGAAGGAGAGAGAGGGAGAGAGAGAGAGAGAGAGAGAGAGAGAGAGAGAGAGAGAGAGGAGAGGAACAGAGAGACAAAGAGAGGGATGGAAGGAGAGAGAGGGGAGGGAGGCAGCCTACACAATATACACACAGAGGTACAGACAGTAAAGGTGATGTTGCTATAGACTAAATGAAAAATGGTACAGATATTTATAGTAGTGTTAATGGTAACAGTCGTAATGTTAATGATTATAATAACAATAATAACAATAAGACTAGCAATAATAGTCGTTGCAGCAGAGGGTGTCGAGCAGGAACACAGGGGCAGCAGGTGACCCGCAACCACAGATCCAGACTCCACAGCTCCAGAGCCAGAAACACCTGCAGGAAGTGACAGGAGGAGAGAGGAGAGGGACGAGAAAGCACAAGACTACCGGAAAGGGGAGAAGTTGTGTTATTAACATGCAATAATGGGATAAGGTTGCATACAGAGGGAGAGAAAGTAGAGGAGAGAGGAGCTCAGTGCATCATGGGAAATCCCCCGGCAGTCTAGGCCTATAGCAGCATAACTAAGGGATGGTTCAGGAGTCACCTGAGCCAGCCCTAACTATAAGCTTTATCAAAGAGGAAAGTCTTAAGCCTGATAATAAGGAATTGCAGTAATCCAGCCTAGAAGTAACAAATGCATGGACTAGTTTGCATCATTTTTAGACAGGATGTTCCTGATTTTTGCAATATTACGTAGGTGAAAAAAGGCGGTCCTTGAAATTTGCTTAATGTGAGACTTAAACAACATGTCCTGATCAAAGATAACTCCAATATTCCTCACAGTGGTGCTGGAGGCTAGGGCGATGCCATCAAGGGAAACTATATCTTTAGATAATGCGTCACAGAGGTGTTTGGGCCCCAGAACAATAACTTCAGTTTTATCTGAGTTTAACATTAGAAAATTACAGGTCATCCAGGTTTTAACATCCTGAAGGCACATTTGAAGTTTAGCTAACTGATGAGTTTCATCTGGCTTGATCGATAGATATAACTGAGTATCATCTGCATAACAATGAAAGCTTATGGAATGTTTCCTGATAATATTGCCTAAAGGAAGCATATATAAAGTGAAGAGGATTGGTCTGAGGACAGATCCTTGAGGAACTCCATGAGTAACTTTGGCATGCATGGAGGACTCATCGTTAACATGTACAAACTGAAATCGATCTGATAAATAGGACTTAAACCAGCTTAGAGTGGTTCCTTTAATGCCAATGAAATGTTCCAGTCACTGCAATAGGATCTGATGGTCAATGGTATCAAATGCAGCACTAACATCTAATAAAACCAGTACAGAGACAAGTCCTTTGTCTGATGCAATAAGGAGGTCGTTAGTAATTTTCACCAGTGCTGTCTCTGTGCTATGATGAGCTCTAAATCCTGACTGAAAATCCTCAAATAAACTATTGCTCTGAAGAAAGTCACACAGCTGTTTAGCAACTGCTTTCTCCAGAACCTTAGAGAGAAATGGAAGGTTAGATATAGGTCTATAGTTGGCTAAAACATCCGGATCAAGTTTGGGCTTTTTCAGAAGAGGTTTAATTACAGCTACTTTAAAGTACTGTGGTACATAGCCTGTTGATAGAGATGGATTGATCATATCTAGTATAGAGGTGCTGACTAAGGGTAAAACATCTTTAAGCAGCCTAGTCGGGATGGGGTCTAAGAGGCAGGTTGATGGTTTAGATGAAGAAATTATTGAAGTTAGTTGGTAAAGATTGAGGGAAGCAAAACAGTCTAAACATATATCTGGTTCTACAGCTGTTTCTAAGGTTCCTGAGTTAAGAGATAAGTTGGTGCCAGTTGAGGGCAGGTCTTGGTGAATTTTGTTTCTAATAGTTAGAATTTTATCATTGGAGAAGCTCATGAAGTCGTAACAACTGAGAGCTATGGGAATACTTACTGATGGAATTGCATCCTTAAATTTAACTACAGCGCTATCAGACAGACATCTTGTATAGAAATTTTTGCCCAATGGCGTGTAGTTCAGCAATACAAACTCAAAAGTTATCAAACAGTGGTCGGACAAAGAGGGATTCTGTGGGAACACCACTAAATGTTCAATTTCAATACCATACACCAAAACAAGGTCGAGGGTGTGGTTAAAACAGTGAGTCGGTTCATGAACACTCTGAGAGAAGCCAATGGAATCTAACAGAGAGATAAACGCAGTACTAAAGCTGTCATTCTCAACGTCCACATGAATATTAAAATCCCCTACAATAATAACTTTGTCCGTTTTAAGGACTAAAGTTGACAAAAACTCTGCAAATTCAGATAAGAATTCAGAATACGGGCCAGGTGCTCGGTACACTATAACAAAGAGAATTGGTTGCAATGATTTCCAACTTGGGTGCGAAAGACTAAGAACAAGACTTTCAAATGAGTTATAATTTAGTTTAGGTTTAGAGCTGATTAGTAGGCTAGAGTCGAAGATAGCTGCAACTCCACCTCCTCGGCCTGTGCCTCGAGGAATGTGAGTATTAATATGACTGGGAGGGGTGGATTCATTTAGGCTTACATATTCTCCATCCCCCAGCCAGGTTTCAGTAAGACAAAATAAATCAGTATCATAATCTGATATTAGTTCATTTACTTAGTTCATAAACAAGAGGACAGATAAAAAGGAGAAGCAGGAACCTAGTTTAGTGACTGAAAGAAAAAGTGACTCTGAAGTGACTCTGAAAGAAAAATCTAACAGAGAAATGTTTAATTAATTTTGGCAGCTAAAGAGCCAGGTATACTGTATTTCTCCGGATAATCAATCCATCATGCCAAATCAATACAACAATTGGCCGGAACGTGTTTTCAATGATTGTAGGAATTTTCTATTCTTTAAGTAGTATTTATAGAAATGGCCATGGTGCAATGCAGCATGACACTGATGTAAATTAATCCTAATTTTCAATAATAATGTACAATATACTTTCCAGCATGCTACTCTGGTCTGATTTTCAAGTTGGCCCTATATTAATAATTTAATTAATAATCTGAAGAAGAACATGGTTGCTTTCCAGCTGTGTTACTTTGGCACAAATACACGTCATTGAAAGATGGTTACTAATACGTTTCTACTATAATTTCTAAATAGTACTGGAGAAAGTGAAAAGCTAAGGGACATGTTTTGATAATTTAATCCAGCGGTTCTCAAACTTTTTCACATCAAGGACCCCTAAACTGACACAAATTAGACCACAGACCCCCATTTGATAACGTTTTGTTTCAGCACTGCCCATCTGATAGGATTTTGTTCCAGAAAGTGTATGAAATCCAGGACCAAAAAAGTCGTATGTTTGGTCATAATCATCATGTGATAGATCATTAGCTGGCTAGCTAATCAGCATTTTAATAGTCAATCCACTACTTCCCATCTTGCATTAGTCCAGAGAGATTTTTAATAAATACCATTTTTTAATTGCAGTTCTAATAGCTGCAAAGCCCTAAGCAGCCACTTCAATTTTTGCTAAATTTTCCTGTGATAACAGGATCATTTTCTCGTTTTTCCTTTTTGTCAATATAACAAACCATAGCAGAATACAGGGGTCGGCCGGTGCGTTTCTTTAGGATAATTGCAGAATACTTTTCAGTGTGACTGGTTAGCTAAGTTTGTAGAGCCAAAGTCCTTTAGGTAAGTCATGGCACTTGTCAGCTATCTTGGCAACTCCTCCTGGAAGCTATTTAAGACAAGACCAACAAGAACAGTTTCCTGTCTGAATGAATGGGGAGAGAGCCAGAACTGCACTTTTACTGGTCATCGGGACATAAAAACTACATGAATAGAATCGGCATTAAATCTAATAAAAATCACTGAAAAAGTTTGATGACTTTGCCCCAAAATAAGGGTTAAAAAGCGTTTATTTCCCGACCGGTTACTTCTACTTCGCATGCGTCACTACTACCACACATGCTCGCTGTAAAACAGACCCTTGTGTCAGCGGAACCACATGATTGGCTGAACTATTTCGCTGAGTTCTACCTGCACATAATTATGCAAAGATTATCCCTGTAGCAACTGACCCGTTTGGTGATTCACTGGCCTCTCGCACCTTCTAAAGCCACTATGCTGGGAGGGCACGAGGGTGCTGTTCTGTCTGGGCGACCTGCTGCTGCTGGCCCGCTTCAGAGACGAGGCGGACCTGCAGACAGATAGTATCTGTAAAGTGCATGAGAGGCCGGCTCTTCCAGGAGAGGTACCGGGCCTGCTCCACCGGGTCTGCTGCGCCGTATCACCCCGTGGGCCGTGGTGACACTCTGTCGGTGGGCCACAGGCATATAAGCCAGAGCAACAGTCTTGGGATGAATCTCCTCATCTCACAGCTTGTGTTGTTGTGTTTGGTGTCCTTTTCTTTGTCCATGCAGCACATTTTCTCTCATCCACTCCTTGAGTTACTTATAGGGGTGGGGGGAAAGCGATTCTTAGATGCATCACGATGCGAACGTGGAAGATTCTAGATCGATTCATAAATGTCACGAATAAATTTTTATAATTAAATAAAGAAATGATTGGCTTGTAAAATAAGATATACCATCAAATCGTAGGTAACATACGAGAGGCATACAGAGCGCTGTGTCGTGCGCCACTAGGAAAGTCTGACCACAATGTTATTCACTTGCTCCTTAAGTATCGAGCTAAAGTGAAGAGAGAGCAACTTATAACTAAGGACATTCAGGTGTGGAATACAAGGAGCGAGGAGATGCTGCAGGATTGCTTTGAACAAACAGATTGGCAGATGTTTTTTGATTGTTGTAAAAATATGAATGAACTAACAGAGACTTTAACTGAATAAATGAAGTTTTGTGAAGCTAATGTCGCTATTTAAAAAAGCATAAAAGTATACCCTAATAACAAAACAGAGGCTTCTGCAGAAACGTGCCAGTGCATTAAGGAGAGGGGGATGACTTTTATTAATGGGGATATGGTTCTAGTTAAACAAAAGAGAAAGGAACTAAGATCAATTTTAAAGAAAAATAAGGTAAAATACAAAGAAAGTGTAGAGACTCAGCTTTGTTCTGGAAATGTCCGGGAAGCCTGGGAAGGACTCAATTTTATGATGGGTAGAGAGGGGAAAAAACAAGCTGTCCCACAGATTAAAGGGGTATTGTTTGCTATTGACCTGGATCAGTTTTATTCTACATTTGATAATCGACAGTATTCTGTCTCTAACAATGACTTTGATGTATTCAATAACACAACTGATCACTCCTCTGTTGTACTGACAGAGTCAGAAGTAGCAGCAAGTCTGGCCAGAATGAAATCTAATAAAGCACCTGGACCAGATGGTTTAAGGGGCAGGGTGATCAAATCATGTAGGTTTCAGCTCACAGCAGTCTTCACAAAATTATTCCAGCTTATTCCAGCAGTCTGCCCATCCAGAATGGGCAGACTGGTTCCAGATGATTTTGAATATTGGCACTTGGACTTGGTTGTCCTCTTTTGTTCGACCTCTTGAAATCCACTGACGAAAACTCTGAAGTGTCCTCTGGTTGTTTGCTGTTCAAATCCCCAACTCTTATTTTAGGCTCTTTTCCCCGTGCGGTGATGATCCCGTTCTGAGCTCGGTGCCTTGAGATCAGCTGATGAATAACTACGATCCATTTCCTGCTTATCCTTATAGGTTCTCTCTTAATGTTGTCTTTAGGGTGAGATGGTGTGTCTGTTGGTGTATATGTGTCAGGAGTCAGGATATGTCCATGTTTGGTCCTTCCACTTCTCCTTTTCTGTCCCTGTCTCTGCTGCTGACTCATAGTCATGATGTTTTCGCCCAAACATTGACACACTGAATACTTGATGCTCTCAACAGGTGACTCTCAATCCATTAAAACTCATAACCCAATCGTAACTGAACCCTGCTTTAGTTTTTTTTTTTTTATTGCATTGTACTCATAGTTTGACTTCAGGACTTTGAATACTGATATTTATTTATCATGGTTCTCCTGTGCAGGACTGGTGCTGAGCCAAATCCAGCTTGTGGTGCAGGGTTAGTCACCATCTCAGACAATCACACCTATCGTCAGCCAAGTTAAAGGAGAGGCCGAAAATCCAATCCCCTCCGGATTGTTGTCACCTTCCGTACAACTTGTCACACACAGACTCTTGAACTCGTTGCTCACTCCCATCTTTCTCTGTTTCGGTAAACATCAACGGACCAGCTCGTAACAAACCCTCCTGTAAACCCTGGAACTCAAAGCCCCAATCCTCATTAGCCAGCTCCTCGCCCTGCATCATTCTGAGCTTTGTCCTAAATACATCTTTAAAAACTGCTCTGCTTGTGTCCCGTCTGCTTTTTTGGTCATTATAAGAAACCTGACACTCTGTATTAACTGAAAGTTTAAAGCATGTAGTAGAACTAGTTTTACCTGGCTGTGTTTTAATAAGGAATTTGAATTCATAGTCCTCACCTCTCTCCAAAAATGTGGATCATATCAGTCCAGTTCTGAGGTCTTTACACCAGCTGCCCATCTGTCAAATATCTGATTTAAAAATATTAATGATGGTTTATAAAGTTCAGATCATCTGCTACATTATGAACAATCCAAACCTCTCAGGTGAGACAGCTCTGCTGTGACATGGGGAGAACATGCAAACTCCACACAGAAAGGCCGGGACAACCAGGGTTCGAACCCATGACCTTCTTACTGTGAGGCGTGAGGCATATAATTAATTTGACTGTTTTTATTCCAGAGCTTGGGCGAAAGGTATTCTGAAAGTAGTTGAATGTAATTGCATTGCATGGATCATGAAACATATTTAGAACCCAAGTCCTTTGTGTTTTGGGTAAACTTGGTGGGTCCTTTATTTGCAGTTCACTTTTCAGCCAACAACAAATGACATAAATAAAGGACTCCCGGTCTAATAATCATATTCTCCAGACTTAAGAGAACATGCTTGTTTGGAACGGATTCCAGCAAATGTAAAAATGACTAAAATCAAGATTCACATCACAATATGTGTCAAAAAAATCCTAATATGATTTATTTGCATATCATTTAGCCTTACTTATTAACTCAGTATTTCTAAACACTACTATCGACTGCAGTTATAAAGAAAAGTCCGTCTGCATCTCTGATACACATTAAAGTCTTTTGATATGCTGTGCTTTCTCAAAGGTAGCACCATATTCCTTATATATATCAATCTAGTCCTTACCAGCAGGACCCATAAACCCTCAGACCTTGAGACCTGTCTTATTCTAGCTGTAGAGAAGGAAAATATTAGGCGTATAATAATATTTGTTGTTCATTTATCTTTTCATGGATCTCAAAGTTGGCTTTTGCTGCAGCTTGTGAATGGAGCTGGGTGATGACTCTGATCAGTTGGCTACGGTCCAGTCTTGAAGCTTGAGTTAATATACCACTCTTAATAGTGTTCCTCTTAACTTTAGATACTCTGCCCTATTTAGACAGAAATACTTATAAATGTGACGGTTTTGTTGTCTACTCTTATAGTTTACAACCTTCTGTTACATAATGGATCATTGCAGTCGTGATCATTCTGGTGGTTACTGCACAGGTTACGAAACATGATGAGCTTCAGCAACAGGAAAGTCCTCAAAAAGGAGAGGAAGTGACTTAAAGTGAACAAAGCAAACATGTACGTAAGAGAATAAATGTTTTTATTGATCCATTAAACAAGTGTATCATAACAGAGTAGCCATAAAGGGATTTTGATTATAGCATTTTCATTTTTGATTAAAGAATGATTATGATTAGAGAGGAATACAATCAATCAATCAAGAAACTTCTTTTAAATCATGCTTTTATACTTAATAACAGTTGCAAAGCTACATGGGATCCCACAGCTGAAACCACCACAAGCAAACCAACAGCTGCAGTACAACTTGATCATGCTCATTTTTGTTTAATATAAGAGTTTGTGCACTGGCACATACAGCTGTAGTCATTTCTAAAGATGTTAATGTAACATGTGCACGTACTTTGATACATGAATATGCAATATCTGATAATCAAAATAGCTTTATATATTTGAATGTAATTAATACAGAATTGGCATTCTGCACAAGTAGCTCGCTTAATTTTCAAATGCAGGCAAAGGTTGGTATTTGACTCTCGACATTTTGGCTTTGTACAAAACCAATGCACTGATCATGCCAACAGCTGCAAGAAGACAACCAGCGATGAAGACCAGGTTCAGATTCAGGTTCATCACTGGAGAAAAGAGAAGCACAATTTGAGTTCGATCCTGTCTGAAGTCTAACTGGCACTCAAACAATGCACATGTGCTGTTATAAACCCCCCCTGTACTTTACCTGGGCTTCCGGTGCTCTCTGCTGATCTCGTTAAGCGCAGGGGACCCTGGGAAACAAAGTGCCTTAAACTCTGGGTGACCGCCTCTCTCTTTCTGTGGTCATGGTGGTGACCAACTCGAGATGTGGAGTTGATGCATCCCTTCGAGCACCTGGTGTCGGGGTCCCCTGCTTCACACATCAGGACTGAACAGCTGATGTAAACCTGAATACAACAGGACACAGTGTCATTGTGTCAGCAGACCTACCGTTGTGCTTTCCAGTGGACAAATGGCAGAGTAATGTGTCTTTGGAAACTTTTCCTACCACTTCTGGTTCAAGCAATCTATTCATCATAACATCAAACAAAAAATCGGATCCTCCCCCATCGCTCTAACCTGAATGTAAAGTCGTTTTGGATAAAAGTGTGTGCCAAATGAGTAAATGTATATGGCTAATATCTCTAATAACGTTAGCGCTGACTGTCAACTTTACTCAACACCTACATCAGAATGCTGTTTGTTGATTTCAGCTCAGCATTCAACACAAATCTCACACTCTGCAACTGGATATTGGACTTCCCCAGAGTCCCACCCCAGTCAGTTCGGATTGGCGGACACATCATCTCCACTCGAGTGCTCAACAGCCCCCCAGAGCTGTGTGCTCAGCCCCCTCCTGTTCACGCTGTACACCCACGACTGCATCCCCCAACATGAAGAGAACTCTGTTGTGAAGTTTGCGGACGACACCAACATCATCGGCCAGATTAGGATGAGACTTCATATCAGGAGGAAATTCATAATCTTGTAGAGTGGTGCTCAGAAAACAACCTACTGCTCAATGTCAGCAAAACTAAGGAGCTGATGGTTGATTTCAGGAAGAAGGAGATAAAGACACACACTCCTGTCTACATCAGTGGAGCTGAGGTGGAGCAGGTGAACAGTTTCAGGTTCCTGGGAATAAACATCACAGAGAACCTGACATGGTCATCTCACATCTCCACGCTGGTCAAGAAAGCTCAGAAACAAGTGTATTTCTTGAGGAAGCTTAAGAAGGCCATATTCCCACGCCACTGACTGGAAACTGGCATGTGCACGGCCCAGGACCGGAGGGCTCTGCAGTGGGTGATTAAACCTGCTCAGAAGATCATTGGTACAGCTTAGGCAATATTGTTGCTATACATTCATGCCAATAAAGCTAATTAGAATTTGAATTTTGGTACTGATCTCCTGAGCATCAGTGATATCGGTGAGGTGAGGTGCCTACGCAGAGCCCAAAGGATACTAAAGGACAGGACCCACCCAGCCACAGCCTGTTCACCCTGCTGAGATATAGAAGTTTCTGCTGCCTAACCACCAGACTTTTTCCCCCAAGCTATCAGACTCTTAAACTCTAACTCATCCTCAGCACTGCTCCAGTGATGATAGTTTATTTCTGTTACCATTTTTTATAATTGATTCTTTATTAATGTATATTGTCTGCTATGTAGCAGAAGGGAGTTACAAAACTTGTTGTATTGTGACAATAAACCTACCTACCTATTTTCAAATTATTTAATATTCCTACGCATCTGTCCAAGTGTGCATTAGATAACAATAAAACTTGTCAGCATTTAGAGATATTACAGAGACATTTGCTGGCACTTGCTCCAGTCTAACCACATAGTCAATTCTTCACCTGGTCATGCAAGCCGATGAACCTGAAGGCCTCCATGCTGAACCGGAATTGTCTCTTGTTGGTGGAGGAATGGATTTCAACAGTCGAGGCCACTTTACACCTAGTAAGGAAAACAAAAACAACATAAGACATGTTGCCTCTGTAACTCTTCCCTTACAATGGGTGCCATTGAAGACACAGAGGTATTACTTTATTGAAGGTGTTTACTAGGGCTGTCAAAGTTTATGCGTTAACAACGAGTTAACGCAAATTTCTTTTAACGCCACAATTGTTTTTTTGACAATTAATGCATGTGCATTGAGTAATTATGACCCTCGGCCTGCCCCATAGTTTGAGAAATCAGGAAGAGTTGCAACAGTAACACTGTGGCAAACAGGAAATGGGCAGGTTCACACCAAAGATCCGCAACTGAAAAACTTGAACTTGCAACTCTGTGCAACGTGTCAGTCTGCAATGTTTCTGAAGGTTTATCTTTATAAACAGAGTTTGTGTGCAAGATAACTTTGTGACTCTTTTGACCAGCTGATTGGCTGTTAAAACAGGTGAACTGTTAACTTAACAAGCAGAAACATAAAAAACATGAATTATGTTGATGAGAGTATTAAAAGCTTGAAAAATATCCCTTTCAAGATGCACTTAGAACAGATAAAAAAATGTGTAAGTAATTTGCCATTAACCGCAAGTTAACTATGGACAATCATGTGATTAATCACCATTAAATATTTTTATCGATTGACAGCCCTACATGATAAGAAAGGGAGTGTAGGTACTACTGAAAATGAAGTAAGTGAAGCATTAACTTTTACATCCTGAGATGGTCATATTGTGTAGGTGAGCCTCTAAGGATAAAAAACAGTCAGGTGGAAGATAGGAAGACATTTAATCTCTATGTATCTATCCACTGTCTACAAATAGGTAGATGGATGGAGAAATACTAGCAAACACTGGGGGAGAGACAACCAATCAAATTCACTCTTGAGTAAATTAAGCTACAACCTCCAATACACAAGCAAAAAGCAAATCTTTACAAATACTTTGTAAAGTATTGTCCTCTGTTGGCTGAACTCACCCATTTTCAATGATGGAGTAGGTTGGCCGGTAGTTTGGGTTGTCATATGGTGCAGCGCTGCAGGACTCCACAAACAGCTCGGTGTTGTTGGCTGAAGAGGTGGCATCTATCTGCATGTAGATCCTGCTCCCTACGTCGTACTCCAGAGGGTATGAATTTGGATCAATCATGGTTTGGAATTGGTTATCAGGAAAGAACTCAAACTGGTAAGTGAAAGTACCAAAGCCTTTCTCCCACACTGTGATACTTTTCCTGTGTGCTGTGTAGCCAAGTGTCACGTTCCCCCGTTTGGGGTACTGGCAGTAGAACTGAACTTCCAGCAGGTGTTTCCTGGTGATCAGGTCTTCTGTGTTGTCGACCGCGGTGATTTCATTCTTAAAAATGAGGTTGTCATCATCTTCCTGTGGAGGAAAAGGTTATGGATTCAGTCCTCACACTGCTAATGAAAAGGAAAATCTACACCAGTAACTGAGAGAAGAGCACAGTGGGCAATAAAACTAATCACCCTGCCTCACCTCGATCTGAGTGCCGCAAGCATTGAGGGGGATGACAGCGATGATGTGAGTGCTGTTGGAGTGTGTGCGGAGGCTGCAGACGGTGTTGGTGGGGTCACTGAGCCGCAAATGATCCTCATTGAGTCCAGAGAATGAAGATTTCTCAACCTCTACTGTCATTGTGGACTGACTGCAGATCACATTGGCTACAACTAGAGCAAAACATATATTTAAATGATTTACTAAATACTTTGCTCAAAACTGTGTATTTCTTATAAAAACTATTGTGATAAAACCTGCATTAATATCAGCATTGTGTTTTTAAGTATTTCTGCCCTCTACTGGTCAAAAATTGCTAAATGCAGCTTTAAAGGTTCCCTGTAAAACCTCTAGTAGCGCTATAGAGTTCTTTCTGGGACGAGATGACTTGCACTTGTACACATGCATTCACACGGGTGTGGTGATACTTGGTCATAATGCTGTTACACTATTGCACTGATCTACAAGCGGCAGTAATGGACCAAACATGCAGCAATGCGCCGACAAAGACAGAAAAAAGATTGCTAGCTAGTAAATATGGATGTAAAAAAAATGTAACAGATTTTAAATACTTTAAAAATGGGCTTTGCAAATGTTTTATGAGGAATGAAATGCACTAGCTTACATTATATTTGGTGAAAACACACACCATCACATTCTGCGCTACAAAAAGTTTCCCCATGTATCATCAGCTTCAGACTCACCTTGCGTCGCCACAATGTCCACCAGAACACACCTCATCTCAGACTGATAGATGTCAGCCCTGAAAGGCATCAGTGAACACGGACTTAACACTTTTAACTCATTCAATTAAGCTGATATGTCATTGTGAAAATCAAAATTGTTTTGAATCCAAATTACAGTCAAAAACGAAGTCTATTTTCCTAGCCCTCCCAGCAGTCTCGAAAAAGACTGAAAAGTGTGTAGAAAGATAAATTAAGGTATCCACACACATACTAATTCTGTCATAAAGGAAATGAAGCCAAGGCTCACCCTGTCACTGACTCAACAGCAAAGCAGATGGGGTAATGAGCTCCCAGGTCATCTGGAGTAGGCGTCCACCTAATGACAAACTCATCATGTGTGGTCCTGTGCTTTTGGATATTCAGTGGCCCACTGATGATGATATCACGTATTCTGTATGAAAACAAAACAGAAACCAGAGATTTCCTCGTTACTGCTGGGTTTATCTACCTTGTTGAAATCATGAGAATGTTATCCTGCCACACTGATCACGCTGGTTCTCACTTACGTTGCATATGCAGCTTGTGCTTTGACTCTGATCTCCACCTCTTTGTTGACCTCTGCTTGGATGTGTGCTCCATTTTCAGGTGTTGGGTTCACAAACTTTGGCAAGAAGAGTCCCTCCTGACATGAAGGAGCAGGTGGGTCCACTGGAGTATAAAAAGATAAATAAACTATCAATACCTGCCACTGGATCAGAACTTTTAACCTTTTGCACTCTGGCCACACCTATGCATCCAGAGATGTCACACCAAGTGTTGACTAAACTGACGCCACTAAACAAGTATGTTCATTCCTAACCTCAGTTTAATTTGTGGCAGTGTGTGGTGAAATAGAAGGACAACCACATGTAATGATCAAAACATTGTCAGAAGTTGATGAATTGTTTACAGGCTAAATAAAGCTTTTGAAACCCCATTGGATCAAATGTGGGAAAAAACAGGACAGTTTTTATTCATTCATGAAGAGCTGATTTTTTTGAAAAACTTTCATTTTCACATTTTCACAGGACAGATCTTCATGGTGGGTTTCTGGTCAAACTTTTTGGGGGTGCCTGGATGCCTGTATTTCAATCCGGCCATGTGTAATGTCACAAATGAAGGTGTGGCTAGAGGTCCTGCATGAAGGTTTCAACCCAGTGAGGACTGTGAAGCTGCACGTTCTTGCTCAATGTGATTGAGGCTCACTAAAATGTGTAGAAAAACCCAACTTACCAAGTACAGAGAATTGCAATGGTAGTTTACTGAGAGGAGGAGTGGTGGAGTGCAGGTGTGTCCTGCTGCTAGTGTATCGCAGAGTGGTAGTTGCTTCAGTGGTTGGGGTTGTTGTGGAAAAAAACCACTCCCATGGGTCATATGTCGGTTCTGCTGTTGTAATTTGTCCTGTGGTTGCAGTGGTTGGGGTTGTTGTTGAACCAAACCACCACCATGGGTCATATGTCGGTTCTGCGATTGTAGTTGTTACTGGGGTTGTTGTGGGAAAAAACCACCACCATGGGTAATCGGTCGGTTCTGCTGTTGTAATTTGTCCTGTGGTTACTTCAGTGGTTGGGGTTGGGGTTGTTGTGGGAAAAAACCACCACCATGGGTAATCGGTCGGTTCTGCTGTTGTAATTTGTCCTGTGGTTACTTCAGTGGTTGGGGTTGGGGTTGTTGTGGAAAAAACCACCACCATGGGTAATCGGTCGGTTCTGCTGTTGTAATTTGTCCTGTGGTTACTTCAGTGGTTGGGGTTGGGGTTGTTGTGGAAAAAAACCACCACCATGGGTCATAGGTCGGTTCTGTTGTTGTAATTTGTCCTGTGGTTGCTTCAGTGGTTGGGGTTGGGGTTGTTGTGGAAAAAAACCACCACCATGGGTCATAGGTCGGTTCTGTTGTTGTAATTTGTCCTGTGGTTGCTTCAGTGGTTGTGGTTGGGGTTGTTGTGGAAAAAAACCACCACCATGGGTCATAGGTCGGTTCTGTTGTTGTAATTTGTCCTGTGGTTGCTTCAGTGGTTGTGGTTGTGGTTGGGGTTGTTGTGGAAAAAAACCACCACCATGGGTCATAGGTCAGTTCTGCTGTTGTAGGGATTGTGGTTGGTGCTGCGGTTGTAGCTTGTCTCTTTCTCAGTGGATCCCTGGAGGATCTGGATCCATCAGTGTAGGCCAGAGAGATGCGCCCTTGTGGGAAGTCCTCCACCACCAACTCAAATCCATACGCTCTGGCGTCGGCATAAGAGTATCGGTAGTGTAATGTGCAAGAGCCCTGACAATGTGAACATTTAGTAGTTAAGGGAGGCAAAGCATCAATCCAGTGTTGTACAAGGTATTGGGAAATTGATTTTTCAACAAACCTGATCCAAGTCGAAGCCTGAAGGTTGGTTGCACGAGCTGCACTCAGTACCTATGATATTTCCATATCTGCATCGAACTTTGTCACCATCAGGATCAAAGGACATCAGCTTGTATGTCCGTGGGCAGTTCTGAGGAACTCTTGAACAGACACATTAACACAAGTTAGTAAGAGTCTACAGCAGTCCTGAGTGCTGTTGTGAAACAATCACACATATGAACCAGCCTCGGTTCTTCCCTTCCACAGTTTTAAAAATCCAGTGTAACCAACCTGCAAATGTGAAAACTGTTTAAATAATTGTGTACAGAATATACTTGTTACTTTTAATCCAAATTTCAGATATGTGAAATAACTATTTATTGAAATGTGTAAAAAAAAAAATAGTGGGTTCAGTCTCAAATTGTCTTCATGGAGTCACAGTGCCCTATTCATGACAAAAAAGTGTGACCTCTACAGCATTAACTGATAGAAAAGTAGTTAGTTACATCTTTAAATTATTTGCTTAACTTGTTCAGTTAATCCTTTGAAGTAGTTGTTCCCTCTTTGAGTTTTAAAATGAGTACAAGTTATTTGTAATTGCAATTGTGAGTAGTCAAAACATTCTAGTTAAGTAATACCATAATTGTCTAGATATACCACAGTCACTCAGTAATTTGTGATTGTCCTGTTTTCTGTTAGCCTTCATATTATCTGGTTTATCAGTAGAAAGTATGTTTGAGAACAACAATTTTTAATTGTTAAAGTTTAATTAGGAATTGTTCTCCAACTTCTCATCTTGTGTCACGTTTTATCTCTTCTTTTTTTTTTTTACTGCTGGCTGTTGATGACCTGATTTCTTTTTTCAAGGGTTTTGTTCTATGTCTCCTTTATTCAGCCTTGTTTATTTACATGATCAGCTTAATTCAGTTATTACTGGTTTGGACTCATTCTTGTTTTCTTGTCTTAGCACAAATTTAATCCATGCAACGCTCTCTTAGGACAGCTACGGTGGCTGTAACAGCACAAAAGGTGTCTCTTCTGAAACAGCAGAGAGTGGCCAGTCAAGAATGAGGTTTCTTTAGGTAGATGTAGAAATTATATTTAAAAAATAGGTGATTAGGTTATATATGATGAATTTGGGATAATGTATCCTCGCCAAAACTGCCCGCCAGCAATAATATCTGGCTATCACGGCATGATAATAGGAACAGTGTTGAACTCATGAGTATTTCCTCGCTGCTAAATCTGATTGTGAAGTCTAAAATAACTTTCCACTGCATGCATAATACACGGCAGATGTGTGTGTGATGTTGCAGCCTTGCAAAGTGTAAAAAAAAAAAACCCCATCATTTTCAGAGAGTTTCTCTCATAGAAGTAAGAATAAATTTCAGGAAATATTCAAGTTTTTAACTTTGATTTGTGATTTAGTTTCTTATAAATCTACCACTTAAATCTTTAATCCCTCTCCCCTGGCTCCAATTCTTTTATTACAATGAGCATAATGTGCAGTTGTACGTTTACATCTTCATGATATTACGATATAATGATATATAAAAGAAGAGTCCATAAAATACATGGGCCTATTAGAGAATTAGCCTACAATAAGAACACTGTGAAGATAAAATTTACTCCATGTGATGCCAACAAGCCTTCTTGGCTTTGTCGGCCACCACAATGTTAGATTTAGCCGTTAACGTGTCTTTAAACTCCTCAAATCCTGGCACAATCAACCTGCATTCTTCTGGGGAAATACGGAGCATGCGCCGTGGCGAAAAAAACTCTGTCTGCTTAAAAAATAAACTATCTGATTATTATATTTTTGCCTAATTACAATTTATTACAACAAGGATCTACAACCTGCGTCCATTCATTCCCTTATCATTTGAGAACCAAATTCTTTTCACAATATCGAAACGTGATTTTTAATTGAACCCGTTTTAATCCTGTTCAAATGTCGGTTTGTTGCATTTTGTTGTAGCCATATAATCGTTGTTCTTTTGTCTTATATATATCCTCATTTCTACCCAACAGAAAAATTGTGCAAATGAATTTACTTTTCGGCTTTTTTAGATTGTCATGTTTTCCCCCAAACTAGGCAGGTAGTCAAATAAATTTAACAGCCTTAATTTTCAATGAAAATAATGAGTATAAATCCACTAATTTTTACATGATTATAGCATTTTCCAAATTATGGCTTGGTATGGATGACGGCATGTTTTTGTTTGTAAACATAGCGTGGAATACAATCCAAGTAAAAATGTGTATTTTCTTATTGTAAAATGAAAATAGAGCACTGTCTTATTTATAGTAAAATGATTTATTGTGTTGATAAAAAAGAATCTTTTTAAAAATGTTGCTTTCAGCCTAATTCCAGTATTTTTGGACAGGCACAGCTATCTGGCTGCCACTGTGTAGGTATTTCTCTACTGCTGATGGGCAAAGTAGGACATTTCCCACAGGTTCTTTAACAAAGTGATTAGAAGTTATCTTGTTTAATGATAATAGCAGGGGACTCACCGTAGAAAAGGGAGAATGGCAACTTCTGGTGATTGGTTTGGTTTTCCAGTGTCAGATCTTGTTCCCAAATCCACATAAGTCATAAGTCTCAAATTACGAACCCAGTTTTGCGTTGGGATCCAACAACAGCTTGCAGCGCTGGTGTGATGGAAACAACACTCTTGAAATACAATATCTAATAAGCAGAACCACAGCAAATACAACTGTGTGCAACTGAAGTTTTAGCAGGATAAATATTATATAAATATTACAGCAATATAGCAAAAATATTCACATCAGTCAAGTCCCCCCCCCCAAAAAAAAAATTTGTAATATCACAATAATACTTTACAAGCTGACAGTAAACATAAATTAAAGATTTTTTTAATTACAATTTTTAATGTATTCAATTGTTATATATGCACATTAAATATTTATATATGCAAATGTAAATACTTCAAATGAGGTACTCATTAAATATGCCCTGATTTACAAATCGCACAATTCCATATTCCAGCACATTGCTAAGACTCAGATTAAATTTTCTGGTTTTATTGTGATAATATACCAAAAGGCCAGACATTTACAGAACAGTTTATCAAAATATTGTTTTTTCATGGATTTAGGTGAAGGCAAACCACGTACCTGATAGGCCAGGGAAATAGTCTGAACAATCCAGTTGCTAATAGTATGTTTGGATGCAGGGAGCCCGGCCCTGGGGGACCCAAAACACACTAGCAGCTGGTCAGCCTTCCTCCAACGGGAGGGACCTCAGAGTGTAAATACTCAGTGCTCTGACAGGGCAGAGCAGATGAAGTCTCCCGTCCTCCGCAGTCACATGAGGTGGAGGATGAAATGCCTGCAGCACTGTGGACCCTGCCGCACAAGGAAGGCACTTTAGGGATGTATCCTGGACGAGGGTGCAGGATAGCCCTTATATTCCCCGGGGCAAACTCCAGGTTTGCGGGGAAACCGAAAGCGCTTGGAGATCAGCAAGGAGAAAGGCCATCTTGAGGGTAAAGTGCTTCGCCTCAGCTGACTCCAGGGGTTCGAAGGGGGCCTCAGCCAATGCCCCAAGAACCACCGCCAGATCCCAAGTGGGAACCTTGGACCGAGTCGCAGGTCTCATCCTCCGGGCACCATGGAGGAAACGTACAACCAAGGGAAGTTTCCCCAAAGACCCCTCCCTCAGAGGGGTGTGGAAAGATGAAATAGCTGCCACGTACACCTTGAGGGTGGAAGGGGAAAGACCAGCAGAGAACCGGTCCTGGAGGAACTCAAGTACCTGAACCAACGGGCAGGTAACTGGGTCCACCGACCGCTCCCTACACCAAGTGGAGAAAACACTCCACTTCAGGGCACCACGGAGGATCCGTGTGGACGGGGCCCTGGAGCTCAGGAGGGTCTCCATTGCTCCGGCTGTTAGACCCTCCTCTAGGTACTGTGCCCCCTCAGGGGCCAGACCCACAGTCGCCATATGGCGGGGCAAGGGTGAAGAACCCGGCCCTGCGCCTGGGACAGCAGGTCTCTCCTTAGAGGGGGAAAAGCGTACAGACGTAGCCTCGGCCACGAATGTACCATGCCGTCCAGACCCAACGGGGAGAAAACCATAGCGGGCAGTGCGTAGTCTCTTGAGACGCAAACAGATCCACGTCTATGGGGCCGAACTCTTCGCACAAGAGCTCCACCACTTCGGGCCTCAGCCCCTGCCTCGATAGCAGATCTGCTCCCTGATTCTGCGTCCCCGGGAGATACATCTCCCTGAGCGATAGTAACCTCTGCTGGGACCACAGGAGGATCTGACGCGCCAGTCTGTACAGAGGGCACGAGCGCAGACCGCCCTGGTGATTCAGATAGGCCACCACCGCTGTGTTGTCGGAACGAACCAGGACGTGGTGGCCTTGGAGATCGGGCAGGAAACTCCTTAGAACCTGGAACACCGAGACAGTTGATATGCCACTCGGATTGATGCACCTGCCAGGATCCCCTTGCAAAGCGGCCGTCCATGACCGCGCCCCAGCCCGTGAGGGAGGCATCTGTCGAAATGACCAGCCAGCGACAAGACCCTCCCAGCACGGGCCCCTGGGACAGGAACCAAGTTTCCTTCCAAACTGATAGGGAACGAAGACACTTGCGCGTAACCCAAATCAGACGGAGAGGATTTCCCCTCGGGGAAAAACCCTTGGTCCTTAGCCACCACTGCAGGGGTCTCATGTGCAGCAGTCCAGATGGTATTACGCTGGACGCAGCCGCCAGGAGACCCAACACTCGTTGAAAGTGTTTTATAGTGATGGCGTGGCCTAACTTCACCCCTTTCACGGCAGCCAATATGGTAACGCTCCGTGGTTCTGCGAAGCTCCGCCAGATCTTCCTCAGAGGGACCCCCCCTCTGAACCATCTCCTGTAGCAGGTCGGCTTGGTAGGCTTGAAGCACCGCCATGGTGTGCAAGCTCGCACCTGCCTGGCCCACTGCCATGTACGCCTTCCCCACGAGCGTGGATGTGGTGCGACATGGCTTGGAGGGTAACGCCGGCTCCTCCAGGGAGGACGCAAGTCGAGAGGAGAGATAGCTCGCAAGCGCATCCTCCACCCGAGGCATCCTCCCATAACCACGGTCCCTAACCCCCATCACATTACTGTAGTTCAGTGATTGGGGTGTGGAAAGCCGTGTAGAGAAGGGTCTGCCCCATGATTACTCAGTTCATCATGTAAATCAGGAAAGAATGGCAGAGACCGGCGTGGAGGTCTCTTTCATCAAGCTTATCACTAGCCTGTGGTGTCTGCTCCTCCTGTGGCTAGTTGATGTTGAGCTTAGCCACGGCTCTAGTCACCACCTCCAGGAGCACGTCATAGTCGGGCACCACCAGATGACGCCGCCCCGACACCAGGAAGTCATCGTCCACTACGCTGAGCACGTCTGCCTCCTCGGAGTCGGATTGCTGCAGCGTCTTCAGATCCAAACCGTGAGCGGGAGAAGCCGAGAACGGGCTCCCGAACGAGGAAAGGAAGCGTCAGAGCCAGCGGATAAAGGTCGGGAAAAAGCCTCAGCCGTCCCGAAATCCTCCGACATCGCTGTGAACCCCATGAGTGAAGCCGCCGGGCCGCCTCAGCGGCCGCAGGGCCCGCGCCACAGGGAGAACACATCCGGCCATCCTCGGAAAAGAGAGCCATGCTGTACCTCAGTACCCGCACGGAAAGGGCTTCGCAATGGGCGCAGGCAGCCCCCTCGAGAGCTGCCCGGGCGTGCTCCATCCCCAAACATGAGACACACATCTCATGAGAATCTCCATCCGTGATGTACCGAGGGCAAGAAAAAACACACCTTCTGTACATCTGGTTGCCGGACATGCTGGTAGACTTCTTCTTCAGGTAAGACATACTGCTTGTAGGACTGGAGCTTTCTTCAAACAACATACAGAGCGCCTGCTGACTAGAAAAAAGCTAATGATGAGTGTGTACAGGTGTGCTTTATACTCCTCCGGTTATTCCGTCACACCTTACCGTTCTAGCAACAAGCCAATAGGATTGGAGTGATTTCATTCACGTTCAGACCTGCTTCGCCTAGAGGCGTTCCCATAGTGTCGTAACCGACGCAGTTCGAGTTCCCTCGAAAGGGAGCACTAGCTAACATTGTGCTTTAGAAAACAAGCTTTCAAATGAAATATGATTCAATATGGAGAGTTTTTAAAAGGCCGGTCAAACTTGTACTTGGACAGTGTGAATAAAGCTGAAATTTACAGGATCTGAAGTTAATAAACTTGGTATAATGGTATTTATATATATATATATATATATATATATATATATATATATATATATATACACGCACACATATATATATAGAGAGAGATTGTTTTGTACATTTTATGAAAGTATGGTAATAAAAAACAGATTAAAGCAAAATCATAATTTTGGACTGTGGTGTCTCACCTTAAGTAATGCAAAAAATTAAATAAAATCTTACTTTATTTGAAAAGGGTTGTCACTTGGGATACTTCTTGTACTGACTGTTTCAGTTTCACACCATTGGTTGTTATATTGTGGTGCATTGTTGCTCCAGTCAACTACGCCTCTCTCACTTTTGGTATTATAGCCACAGTTGCCGGTGTAACAAAACCAGTTGAGAGAGTTCTGACAGTCATCAAAGGTTGCCCTGTTGCGAAGGTC